GAGAATGGAATGGATCAGGATCAGGATAATGGCGAGAAATGAGGATCAGGAAGGAGGTTGAAGAGGCGGAGAAGAGGATAACCTGAGGAATTGAGGGAAAACAATTGAAACATTTTTCTTCTTCTTTTTCTTTTTCTTTCGCTTTCTTTTCTATTCTCTTTTCACCATGTTATATGAAACATTTTGTATTGGTAATGAGGATGACTGTGATGATGGAGAGTGCTGGTGAAGAGTGCAGGGTGAGGGTGATCAGTTCACCTACAGTCTGTTCATCTGTATATGATTAGCTCGGTTTTTTCATTCTTTTTTTCCTTCCATTCTTACCAAATGCACAAAAGTGTACGACATGAGCCTAATAAGGGTGAAATAACAGTAAAGAGAAAATCATCTTTTCTTCTTTTTCTTTCTATTATTCAGTTTTTCATTGGATTCCACCAGCTTATTCAATGAAAATCTTATTGTTATTCCACTTTCATCCTAAATTATTACAAATAACAAATTATTATCTTGTGTTATGTCAGCTTCAAAAGTCATCATCTATGTGATCAGCAAGTTTACCTTCAATGATTCAAGTTTTACTTTTTCCTTCAGAGTTTCAGACTAAATCATGAAAGTAGAAAATTTTCATGGAAAAGATTCATTCAGAGACAAGTGATGCTTTGGACATTGGAAAAGATTAACTGAAAACTCGAACTTAAACTTTTAACTTTAAGTTGAATTTTGATAAAAAAAGGATTTTTGTAAATTTTTAGACTCTTAATGTTCTTGTAATGTAATGTTTAGATTTTGACGTTTTTTTGATTTTCATGATAAGTTGAAGCTCTTTTCTTGAGGTTCGGCCAATGTTTGGCATTTTTTGTTTTTTAACTTTACTGTTTGGACTCTTTACCGTAAAGATGTTTATTTGAGTAAAAGTAAATGCTAGTAAAGAGGGTCAAAAAAGGAGCTGCTGAAAGGACAAAATAAAGTGAAACAATGGGAATGAACAGGTAAAGCTAATAAAGCCATTTATAAGGCGAAAAACGGATGCATTAAGAAAATGTTTAAACTGACATTTTAATTTCGTTTGAAAAGAGTTGACGAGAGAAGAAGATAAAGAGAGAGAGAGAATTAGGTAACGAGAGATCTTCATCATCTTTCCCTCTTCCTTGTAAGAAGACATAAACACTGCAAAAAACTCGAACAGTCCCTCTGCCCATGAGGCACCATAAACATCATTCACTTGACTTTCTTTTTCTTCTTCACCTGAATTTACTTTTCTTACCTTCATTGGCGGCTTTTCAACTAAACCATCTATTTATGGCAGTTATGCTTAAAAAAGGTAAAAAATATTTCGATGATTTGGTTCATTGTGACAACAAAAGTTTTCAAATTTTCACCTTTTTAGTTTGGCCAAAATTCATTGATAATTTTTTCCAAATTAATTAAGCATTTCGTAAATTTTCATTCCCGACAAAAAGGCAATCTTCTATGCATACCGAGTTGAAGTCACTGAAAGTAATGAATGAAAAGAAATGGTTAAAGACTTTTGCTGAGTGAAAAGATTGAATCAGATTGATCATTATTCATGAATAGTCGATAAAGTCAACAATTTACTTTAAAAGCAAACTCGAATGATTTATGTTTTGAAGTGATGACAGTCCAATAACAGGCTATAAATCTATGATAAGTTGATAAAAATTAAAACCAATGAAATGACCTTTCGATGTTCACATGGTTTACAAACATCATTTACATCTGCTAAACGAAAGGTTATCACATCATCTAAAAAGCAATTATTTGCTCGAACATGAAAAGGTTCAATTTTATTCTTACTTTAAAATCAAGATTCAAATGTAATTCATGTTTAATCAAATAACCGAAGCCAAAAGTCTTGATTGAAGAGGGTCTTCTCTCAAACTAGTGTTCATCACTCTAATCAACTCTACTTAATGCGTCTAATTACTTGTTACCTGTGTTCATATTTGATTTACTTGTGTCTTGAAAGTTATTGAGAAACTGATCTGTAAGTCTCTATTGCTTTAGAGACACACACTTTTGTTGCTTTGATTTCACAGCAAGTTTGCCGTGAAATTTATTTTTAGTTTGATTTTAGCGTGTTTGACTAATCCTCATTTTGCCCACTTGAACAAGCTAAACAATCAGTTTATTGAATGGTAAACGGCATTATACTTGTGCCCAAGTATATCATTACAATCGGATAAAAATGTCACCAAAAATTAACCTATAAGTGAATGTAAATGTTATCATGAAATTTGATCACAAAAATAGTATCAAAGTGAATGGAAACAAGTTGACCATTAGTTGATCAGAGAGACTTTTGGCTCTTCTTGAGATGCCTTTTTGCTCAGTCAAGATGATATTGAATATAATATTTAAAGAGAGCAGTAAAGAGGTTAAGATGTGCAAAAAGATGATGATAAAAATGATTTGGGATGAAAAGAGGAAGAAGAAGAAGAAGAAACAGAAATGTTGAATGGACTGCTCAAGTCAAGTGAAAAATCCCTCAAATAAAGCGGATTAGAAGACAGTTAATCTTGGCAATTTATCAGGCAATTTATCAGAAACCAGTAACAACACAAACACAACAACTAAGACAACATGTAACACAGCTCTTTACTTATCCTTCATCACTGTAACCAGGCAACCATAATCATTTTTATCTTCTTCTCATCATCATGAGCAACTTGAACAACTTACCTATAATCAAGAACCATGAAGACAAGTTTCTTCTTCTTCTTCTTCTTCTTGATCATTCACCAAACAAAGGATCAAAAGATGATGCTAAACATGATGATGATAATGAAAGATGAAGATGAGCATATGCATTAGTATAGGTTCAAAACTCTGAGAAAACTTTTCTTCTTCTTTTGTTTTTTGCCAACCTTTTCCTTCGCTCATCTTGTCATCATGTTCAGAGTTTTTCTCATGCAACTCAACCTTTGGAAAAGCTCGAAAAAATGGACAAAATTTTACATTCGATTTGAGTTTTTGTTTGATTGAAAACTTGATTTGGATTTGAAATTTGTTTTTGTCTTTTCGAGAGATTTTCATTTTTGCATGAATATTCAACTTTTCATGATTCTTTCACTGCAATTAAATGTTATCAGAAGAGAAAAAAGTTTTCTCTTGTTTATCATCTCAATCTGCAGTCTTTTCATGGTTCATCTTGAGCTGTTCTTGTTCAAACCTTTCATAGTTAATCGGATTAAAGGATCACCTTAGCGGGGGATTAGCCAAGATTTAGTTTCATTGGCAAGGGAAGGATACATTTTAACTCTTACTATTACCACCAACATGATGATGATTATGATCAACAACATCATAATCATCATTTGCCATCATTGATTGAATTTCATTCAATCTCTATCGAAACAGATAATCAGTTGAAACATTTTCAGATACATTGATTTGATAGTAACACAAACGATAAAGGTAAACATTCCGATTCATCTTTTACAGTTTTACATTCATTTCCATCAAACATCATGTTCATCCCGTTATCAGATTGAAACTGGCAAAAATTAAAAGCTCAACATTTTGACTTGACAAATCATCAATTATCAATATAAAAGGTAAACAAAAAAATGACCAAATCTCATGAGAAATCAGATCGATCATCAGAATAATCTTGGGCTTAAATGTCATTGAATTAACCTTTCACCATTCAAGGATATTTAGTAAACAAATTTTGTGTTTGCTTTCAGAAACAAGAATTCAAATGAAAACTAAAACTCTTTTTGAAACTTAACTTTTGCTGGACATCGGTTTGACATCGGTTGAACATCGGTCAACTTTTACTGAAACTTTTACATCTAAAGCTTTTTTCCATCGAAATTCATGTCGAACAGGTTTTGAGCAATCTTTTTTTTGTTCAGTGAACAGCTGGTGAACCGATTGGTGATAAAGGACGAAACAAGTGTTTCCATTGAAGCGGCAAGATTAGGCCTCAAAAGTCTAGCGACTTTTTCCGTTTCACCGATTTCCAAAGTGGATTGACCAATTTTTCAAATGAACATCAATTTTTTTTGTAACCAAAAATTGTGTAAATTTTGACTCAAAGACTTTCAAATCTGATCTTCAAGTTGATCCTCAAGATTGGTAAATTTAAGTTTTTGGACAGCTTTGCCTTTCTTTCCTTCCAGTTGCTCAGATTATCATCTTTTATTCTTTGGCCTTTCAGATAGAAATCGTCTAGAAAATTCTCACAACTTTTCAAACTATGAAGGAATTTTTTTGGCCAATAATATTATCTGAAAGATGAAAATCTTTTAGACAATTTTTCCTTCCCAATCAACTACAATGTATTCATAACTGCAGGGAATAAGTTCTGTTAAAGTGTCTTCTACTTCGCTCTGTTTTACCAGATAAGCTTTCAAATCTGCATACAAAACGAATATTTAACTTCTTTTCTTAACGTTTACATCCTTTCCATGTAGCTTGACCAGATGCAGACATAATCATTTTCTAGATACATTCAATTCTATGTTGATTTTCAGTTCAGAGTAATTCATGTTTGAGATTTAACTCGACTAATCATTCGAGCTCTTTTCAATCTTTTCCTTTGTCTCATCTCATTCTGCTCATTGATTCACCTGAAATGTCCGTCACTTTTAAAGCCATCATGATATTTTAATTCATTCACTGGCCAATTATTCAGCCAATGCTTTATGAGACACATTTTAATAGCCAGGTCAATGAATATGGATAAGTTGAAGTGTTTCAATTAAATAGTTAATTAAACTGTTTGCATCTTGATAAAGATTCAGATCATTCATTGTTTTACTCTAAATATGTTTAGTCAAACTGATTTATGAAAGAAAAACATTTGAAAAATAATTTATTACAAATCAATAAACAAATTAATTGAAAGTGAATTGAAGATTAATTTATTAACAAAATTTTAGATTCAAATCGGGAATCCATTTCATTTGCATAACCAATTATTGGAGATGTTGTCTTACGAACCGATAGATGGCATAAGATCAACAAGTATCCATAATTGTACTTTGAGTCAAAAGTATCTGCAGAATAACTGTTCTCCATCAAGCTCTTTTGATTCTAAATATTGTTTTTATTTCTCTATTGTTTTATTAATTTGTGTTTAATCATTTTATTGAGATCATGTCCTCTCCAGATGAAACATCCACCGAAGAAACCATAAACATTGATGAATCCTTCCAAGCAGTTGCCAGAATTATTTCAATTGAAGACGCCGACATTGAACAAGTTGATTCGGGGATTATAGCAGGCAGAAGCCAGGAGCTGAGCTCTCAAAATCAGTATATAGTCTATTCTGATGGCATTTATGAAGGTGTTTTCTCGCAGGAGTGGAACTCGAAAGAAAGTACTGATCAAGTTTGGATAAAATTGAATGAATTGAGGAAGGAGCTTATGGATACTGGTTTGCTGAAAGACCCGTCAGATGTTTCACATCAAACAGCTAAAGAATCAAATCGACGTGAAATTATAGAAACAATAAAAGATCTACTGGACAGATTTGCAAAAACTAATAAACCAATCGGAATTTTGTCCCGAAGAGACTGGTCAAATACGGTTTTTGATGAAATCTTAGGAGTAAGATTATCCGAAAATGAGGATAACATCAAGTATACAATTATTAAGAAGAAAAAGCGCGCGCAAATGTTAACTCTTCTCTGTAGAGTTTACTTACTTCTCAGTTCCAATCGATTTGCCACAAAGAGGTGAGTATCTGACGTAATTTTTTATTTCGTACCAATTTTTCAAGTTAATTCTTTTCAAATTTTTGAATTCAGTCAAGTCTTATCTATCAAAAGTCTAAGTTTATGTGTCTATGTGCATGATCGTGCCTTGCTATTTTTAATTGATTCAGTAATCATCAGTTTTTTTCTTGGTCTATTTTCTAGACATCTCTACTATTTAGATAAAGGAGCTTATGGTAAACAGATTGTCTGCGATCAGTTAATTGAAGATTTATGCTGCATAACCAACAACACAAGGAAGGAGTTGCATATTTTATCATGTCCTAAAGGTCTAATTTATGGAAAACTAAAATTCAAGCTTCATAATGTGCCTTACAATTGTTCTGATCATCCATTTGTAAGTATTATACATTGTTACTTCTTTGAAAAAAGTATAGATCTATTTTTTAATGACTAAAATTTATTATTTTCAGGGCCTGACAATATCTCAAGATATTGATTTGATTGAAGATATTCAATCAGATGCAAAATTCATTATGATTGTCGAGAAAGATGCCTCTTTCCAGCACCTCATAAACCAAAAAATTTTAGACAAATTTCCTATTATTATGATGACAGGAAAGGGTTTCCCTGATTGTGACACTAGACGATTTTTAAAAATTTTAACACAGACTCTTTCTATTCCTGTTCTTGGTCTGTTCGATGCAAATCCTTGGGGTCTAGAAATTTTATGCATCTATCGTTATGGATCTTTATCATTAGCCCATGATGCCGAAAATTGCACAGTTCCTCAAATAAGATGGCTTGGATTGTTACCATCGGATATCGAGAGATTCAGTATAGACAAACCGTTAACCGACGCTCTTGATACATTGGATTTAATGAAAATAAACAGCCTCAAGAGGCGTCCGTTTATGAGGCTTAACAAACAATGGGCCCATGAATTACAGATCATGGAAAGATCAGGTGTCAAAGCTGAATTGCAAGCTATTGAAAATTGTGTGGAAACATATCTGCCTCTCAAAATTCAAAATGGTGGCTGGATTTAGTAATAAATCATAATAAATTCAAGAAATTCAAATTTTAAAATTTATCTTTATGTATATTTCTTAATATTTATTGTAGACGAAAATTGTAAACAGAGGATTAAAAATATTATCATCATTTCAAATTCAAATTTAATTGTTGTTTCATTTTTTAAGCCTTTTGAGAATTGCGCCTTGAAAACTTTTGGTCGTGAGATGACAATAACAAACCTGTCTCTGTATGCACATGTTTAATTCAAATCATCTTCTGGTGTCAATTGATCGTATTGTGTATTAAGTTCAACTCGTAATTTGTTATTTATAATAATTATTACTATTTTCTTTGTGCCTTATTCCATTTAACCAGTATGTCTACTCAGAAAGAAAAAGACACATTACGTTATGTTTATATAATTGATTTTAAAGATTTTGATCCTGAAGCCGCTGAGATTTTCAGGAAATCAGCTAAATTAGAGGTTAACTCTACGATTAATGGAAACCTGGTTGTGCTTTGCGTTTCCGCAAGTATTAATGACAACAAAAGACCAGCTCCTCCACATACTGGACTAGTCAAAAAATTTAAAATTAATAATCAATTTGTTCCGTCTCTAGAAAACTTGCCGCTCAAGCCTCAAAATGTTCAAACTACAACGAATCCCTCTAAGAAGGACGAATCCTCAGACGATTCTTCAGAGGATTCTTCAGATGATGACGAAGGACAGAAAAAAGCTAAGAAGAAAACACCGGCTAAGCCAAACAAGCCACAAAGTATCCAAAAAGTGACTCCTGTCCCTACTCCTGCTAAAAAAACTGTAACCTCAGATGATTCTTCAGATGACTCTTCAGATGATGATTCTAGCGAAGAGGAAAAAGGTACTAAGAAGACACCAGCTAAGCCAAGCAAGCCACAAACTGCCCAAAAAGTGACTCCTGCCCCTGTTCCTGTTAAAAAAGTGACTGCCACCACTACTCCTGCTAAAAAAACTGTAACTTCAGATGACTCTTCAGATGACTCTTCATCTGATTCTTCATCTGATTCTAGCGAAGACGAAAAAGCTAAGACACCAGCTATTCAAAATAACCCTCCAAAATTACCAAATGTGACTCAGTACAAATTCCTACCAAAAAGATAGATTCGTCAGAAAACTCGGATGATTCTGGTAAAAAGATTCCCATTAAACCAAGAACTACAAATACTCAAAAGAAAACAGAATAATGTAACAGAATAAATACAGATAGCCCTGTTGTATATGGTGACTTCAAAGTAATGACAAAAGGCCCTCGATATACTTCCACATATTTGAAAGGACGTGCAATTAAAAATATAAAGGATTTAACAAGCCTATGTAACGGAATAGAACTGAATTCGTTTCTTTCAACATCAATGTATCCATGTGTCGGCACTGCCAAGCAAGCTATTAAAAATTGTGGCTGAGTTTAGAAATAAATTAATAAATAAAAGTCAATCAATGTAAATTTCAAAATGTATCTGCATTTACTTAATCTTTATTGTAAACAACAGAAAATTGGAAAAATGTTACAAATAATTATCATTTTAAATTCAGATCTAAGGATCAATTTATTGTTTAATTTTGCCACTTACCTAGCAGCATCTGATGTCATTTTCAGAAACCTTGTCTAGCCTTTTCTTCAGCATCTCTTTGCAACTTCTCTAATTTTTCAAGAGTTATCGATTTAAGCGGCAACAACTTCGGTTTACACAAAATGAAGAATGGCTTTTCTTCGTGAATAATAGTTCCTTGGTCAGGAATCACTGGCTTAACTTGTCCATCATCATCTTTAACAGTCTGCATTTTAATTAGCTTTTATTAGCAAAGATTTCTAGAAATACGATAAATATAAAACAACAAATAAATTCCATAGAAACCAACAGTAAAAATATTTCACTGATTATTAATCAATAGTTAAATGAATAGGTAAAGCCTTTTGAGAATGGCGCCACGAAAGGTTTGCCCGTGAGATGGCAATAACATCAACGAAAATGAATGCGTGGTTCAAGCATGCTAATAACAAGCCAATGCGTTTATGCACATGTTTAATTCAAATTTTCTTCTTGTGTTAATTTATTGATTGTAGTGTATTAAGTTAAACATATAATTTGTTATTTATAATAATTATTTCTATTTTCTTTATTCTTTATTCCATTTAGCCAGTATGTCTTCTCAGAAAGAAAAAGACACATTAATTTATAATTATATCAAAGAAGTTCATCCTGAAGTCGCTGAGTCTTTCCGGAAAGCAGCCAAGTTAGAGGGTAATTCTTCAATTAACGGACAATTGGTTTTCGTCTTGGGTTCTGTAAGCATTCATGACAACAAAAGACCAGCTCCTCAACAAAATGGACCAGTCAAAAAACTTAAAACTAATGATCAAATTGCTGCCGTTTTAGAAAATTTGGCTAAAAAGAAAATGACTACTAAAAAAACTGATATTTCTATGAAAAAAGCTGATATTTCACCTGAATCTTCAGATGATGATTCTAGCGATGATGAGGAAAAAGATACTAAGAAGAAGACGCCTGCTAAGCCAAACAAGCCACAGAATGCTCAAAAAGCAACTCCTGCTCCGACTCCGGCTCCTGCTCCGGCACCTGAAAAGGTAGCTTCACCTGACTCTTCAGAGGACGATTCTAGTGACGAAGAGGAAAAAGATGCTAAAAAGATTAAGCTGAGTTCACCCGTTAAGACAAACAAACCACTTAATGTCCAAAAAGCAACTCCTGTTCCGGCTTCTGCTGCGACTCCTGTTAAAAAAGCTGAAACTTCCGATGAATCAGATGATGATTCTAGCGATGAAGAGGAGAAAGAACCTAAGAAGACACCAGCTAAGCCAGTTAAGCCACAAGCTTTTCAAAAAGTGACCCCTGCCCCTACTCCTGTCAAAAAAGCTGAGGATTCTGATGATTCAGATGATGACTCTAGCGAAGAAGAGGAAAAGGATACCAAGAAGAAGACCCCAGCTGCTAAACCAAATAAGCCTCAAAATGCCCAAAAAGTGACTCCTGCCCCTACTCCTGTCAAAAAAGCTGAAGATTCAGATGATTCAGATGATGACTCTAGCGAAGAAGAGGAAAAAGATGTTAAGAAGAAGACCCCAGCCGCTAAACCAATCAAGTCTCAAAATGCCACTCCTGTCCCGAATCCCGTAAAGAAGGCTGAATCCTCAGACGATTCGTCAGATGATTCTAGCGATGAAGAGGAAAAGAAAGACAAAAAGAAGATCCCAGCTAAGCAAAATAAGGTTCCAAAATCCCAAAATGTGACTCCTGCTCCAGTTGTTACTAAAAAGCAAGAATCTTCAGACGATTCTTCAGATGATGATTCTAGCGATGAAGAAGAAAAGAGTAACAAAAAGAAGATTCCAGCTAAAGGAAACAAATCACAAAATGCTACTCCGGTTGCTGCTAAAAAGGCAGAATCGCAAGAAGAATTTGATGATTCTGATAAAAAAACTCCAAATCAATTCAAAACCACTCCTCAAAAGAAAACAGAACCATTTCGCAGAATAACTTCAGATAGCCCTGTTGTATATGGTGACTTCAAAGTAACGACAAAAGGCCCTCGAGATAATTTCACAAATTTGAAAGGCAAGCAATTTAAAAAGGAAAAGACAAAAAAGAAGAAAGGATTCAACAAACCCATGTAATTCAATAAGAATGAATTCGTTGCTTCCATTTTCTTTCAACATCAATATATCCATGTATTTTGTGCCTCTTCTATGTGGCAGGGTGAATCTATTTACTCGAAAAATAAAATGAAAACTTCCCATCTTTCGTGAGCTTTTACAATTTGTTAATTTCGTGCTACTTCATTATTATCTCTACAAGTTTAATTTAAGCTTAATGTTCCGCGCTTTTAGTATCAGTCTGAAAGTTGATGGAAACTCATGCCGTCCTTACACATTTAATTGATCATTTCACTTAAAGGTCAACTATTTGTCTCTTTATGATAAAAACATGTGCTATTCAATAAACCTTTCTAAACATTAGGCATGGTGATAGATTTAAATAAGTTACAATTGTCAGCTGATTGTCGCTTTAAATACAATTGGAAAAGCTATTTCTCCAAAATATTATGTGAAAATAGCAAAAAGGGCTAGTTTCACGACTGACATTATGAGGGTTTACTGTGTATCAATTATTATTGTAAATTTTTACTAATTATTATTTATAGCTAGTTAAGATTAAACCTTTCTTAATCAGTTCTCCTTATTACATGTTTACTTACAGAATTGGTGGAATGTTACAAGTTGAATGAATGAGAATTCTTGTTTAGTCTTCAAAAGCTATTTAACCAGCCTACCACTGGTTACAATAGATACATATCGATTCCAAGTCCCGATTTGCGTTAATTTGTGGCCGAATTTCGTCTAACAAATCTGCTCGTATTTTTGTAAGCTGCTGTACAAAATCGTTAATTTCTTGTGGCTTCATTATTTTTATTTAAATGAGATTGCAAGAGTGATTTTACGCGCTTGCAATATCAATTTGAAAGGTGGTGAATCTCATGTCACTATTGCATAACAAGCTAATCATTTCATTGAAAGGTAAAGTATACTTTATTTCATTAATTCTGAAAGGCTAAAAATCTAACTCAATACGTTTAATTATCTTTCATAGGTTTATTGTAGGATGACCAAATATTCCAGAAGATATGGAATATATATTTTTATCGCGTTGACAATACTTTTAATACAATTCTTCTTAGCTTTGTCGTTCTACTCGTCTAACCAATTTGAGGAAAATTTTTTGCTAGAAGGCAAATTCAAGGTAAGTGCTACAGTTTTAAGCTACACAGCGCACTTTTATTTCTTACCTTTTAATGCTTTTTTCTTTTCATCTAGAAAAATTCTCAAACAAATGATAAAAGATTGTCGTTTGGAACTCCAACAAATTCAATTGAATCTAGATCATGGAAAAATAGTCATTCAAACAAACCATCTGATATCTCCGACCATTCCTCACAATCTCGAGCAGCTTTCAATTCTCTGGTCAGCAAAAATGTCAAGTCCAAAAGTAAATTAGATATTGGAAGCCTTGACTTCATTCCAAATTGTACAATTATTCTCAAAGATGCCATTCACGCCATCAAAAGGGCTCGAACAAATTATTGTAAGAAAGAGCTTGCAGATATTGCTTGTCAACTGCAATCAGAAGAATTATTTCCAAAGTATTTACCACAATTCTGTCCAAATCGAAGTAAGTTATTCTTATATTTTTGTTTTTTTTCAATACCCAATCTCTAACTGTCTTTATTTTTACAGATGTAAAGAAAAAGAACTCGGTTGAAGATGCTGATCCGAATCAAAAATCCGTTCGTATCGCATTTCTTTTAACATTCAATGGACGTTCTGTTCGCCAAATTACCCGTCTGATTAAAGCGATATATAGTCATCGCCATATTTACTTCATCCATATCGATAAGGTTTGTATATTTGGCTGATTATTTTATGCATCTTCCTTATTTTGCACTTTTTTATCAATGAATTTTCTCTCATTTCAGCGTTTAAATTACCTTTTTGAAGAACTACTCGTCTTAGAGACTTTACCGAATATCCATTTATCACGTAATCGTCTTTCCACTATCTGGGGAGGAGCTAGTCTTCTGGAAATGCTAATTAATAGTTTTAATGAGCTTTTGCATCACAAAAACTGGGATTATCTAATCAATCTTAGTGAAAGTGATTTTCCTATCAAGTATAAAATTGTACTGCAACAAACTTTCAATCATATTAATATTTTATTGTTTCTTATTCCAGGCCTCTTCAAAGATTGGAAAATTTTCTTGCAGCCAATTATGGTCACAATTTTGTTAAATCTCATGGTCAAGATCCACAAAGATTTTTAATAAAACAAGGATTAGATAAAACATTTCATCAATGTGATGATCACATGTGGCGATTGGGAGATCGCAAAATTCCTGAAGGAATAGAAGTTGATGGTGGTAGCGATTGGGTAGCTTTAACTCGTGACTTTTGCCAATATATTGTTGATAATGATGATGAACTTCTCAAAGGATTGCGTACCTTTTTTAAATACACTCTTTTACCAGCCGAAGTAAGTTTAACTTAACCCTCATATTGTATTTAAATTTAATTTGTTAAAATTGAATCTTTCTTATTTCTTTGAACAGACATTTTTTCATACAGTCCTTCGCAATAGTGCTTTTTGTGATACAATCATTGATAACAACTTACACATAACCAACTGGAGAAGAAGTCAAGGTTGTAAATGTCAATACCGACATATCGTTGATTGGTGTGGTTGTTCACCAAATGATTTTAGACTCGAGGATTGGTCTAGAATTGTAGATAGTTTAGAGAAGCCACTATTTTTCGCAAGGAAATTCGAGCCGGCAGTCAATCAGGAGATAATCAATCGCATTGAAATGTTAATCTCAAAGAAACAAGTTAAAGTTGGCCAATTGAGTTACGATAAGTACTGGCAAAACGATTTTCATCATAAATTTGATTACAACGATGATGCAAAAGTCAGCTTTTATTATCTTCTCGGATTACTTGGAAAATCGTTTGTTTACAAAATTTGCTCTGAAACGAAAATTCCGTCTGACCAATTACTTTCTACCATTGAAGTAAAACAAGCTCACCTATTTTTCGAGAACGATTCTTTCAAAGGCCTCCTGCTCACATTCATTGATTTAATTGCTGAGAAAAATTCGGCTGCTTTTTATGAAATTTATGCACAACCTGTAGCACATTCCAATCCTGTTGGACAGCAGATAAGTCCAGAAATAAAGTTAATCTCCGCTAAGGTAACGTTAACTCATTAGTTGATTCATATAATCAGTTTTTCTCTCTTCAATAGGTTTGCAGTGATTATGATATGAAAGAACAGATTTTCCGTAATTTTGCCTGTACTTTACATCCTTTTTCTGAAATTGGAGTCAATCATAAATGGTCATCAGATGGAAAGACTAATTTTTCAGTTTCATTTGTCTGGATTGATCCAGTTGAACATGTTGCAGGCTCATTTGAAGTACAAATTGAATGGCCTCATCAAGCCAAGAACAATCAACAAACAATAACTCTTTATCACAAACCAAATTTTAATCATCCTTTGCGTCCAGGTACTTGGAAGTTAAGTATCCTTTACAAATGGAAACCAATTTTGGAGATGAAATTTCTCGTGCTGCCATACATATTTGAAAAAGGCCTTTTTTTGGACAAAACTTCAGCTTCAAATTTACATAATGGGCCAGTTGCCGGAAAATATCTTGATCATAATTTTACAGCAGTTGAAAGACTTCTTAAACTTCGTACTAACCCATCAACCCTCGATTCCCAAGCAACACTTAATTCACAAAAAACAAACGGTCAGCTTATTGACTGGTCATTGGAGCTTTTAGAAAACTTTTGGACTATTTATGATGTCTGTTTAGTCAACAAATTATCTACATGCCAAAGAGCTAAGATTAATTCGTGCCAATCAACTCCATGGAGTTCATTTTATCCTGATCTAAAGTCAAAATTAATTTAATGAATATCATTATTCGCAATACATACCATGTCTGGTTCGAGTCAGTATATTTTCTGCCAAGCAAACACTGACTCAGTGCCTTTTCAATTTTACAAAACTCTAAATGATGAAAAATGTTACAAACTTCAATTTCAATTTCATCACTAAACTAGCTCATTTTACATAATTATTAACTAATTTGTATTTACTATCAAGTTGATATGTTTAAAAAACTATTCGTCCTTAAATAAAAAAATCTCAAGCATTTATTGGAATTGTTTATTATTTAAAATTGGACGCTCTGGTCTTGTACTTACATAGTCCAACAGAAAAATTGTTACGGTAACATAAATTAGCCTAAACTTTCAAATTATCAATCCAATAGAAACCATTAGTCCAGCAACTACAACATCCAACAAATAAAATTTACATAAATTAGACTGAAATGAAGTGATAATTGAAAGAGGCTGTGCTTATCCTCACTGGTTTTATTGAAAACAAAATAACAAGAAAATAACAGTTAACCATAATAAAATTGATTATAGATGATTGAGGGGAAAATTGCAGTAAATTATTCAAGTCAGGGCAAAGGTGAAAAGACAAATTACGAATAAGAATACACATCATGTACATCATAGACCAAAGTATCAATTAGGATTTGATTTTAAGTTGTTTTTTTTCCTGGCCAAGAGTGCAATCAATTTACTTGTTACAAAAATATTCAGGTCATTTCTCTTCACCTCTCCCATTTGGCCTCTCTATTTCATTATCATTTCGATCAGAGATAATCACCAATCCAATGAAAATAAAAGTTAATTCGAGTGACCTGAAAAGTGAAATTTTCTCAAGAAAAGGTAATGAAAACGACTCACATTGGAGACTTTATCTATCTTCTGGACTTTTTTTGCAATACTGCGAAATGAGAAAAAGGAATTAAAAGTTTATGAAGATAAATGAATTATCAGCTTTGAAAAACCAAATACCAGGAATCATTAAAAAACTATTATTATTATTAATTATTACCAATGTCAACAGCAAGTATAACTGTCAAACAGCTTACCTGTTTGACCTGAAAGCTGCAAATTACCTCTCACTTCATCATTTCTTATAACCATCAAATATTATTAACATTGTTTAACATTGTTGGTTAGTCTATTTTACCTTAACAAAATTTTTGAGCCTTTTCTCCAAAAAAGTAGATAATAGAAGATGAAGAGAAGATGAGCCAAATTATGCTTCCGAACTCGCAGAAACCCTCATCATTATTTTCGGCTTTTTGCTCCTTCTTCAACTTCTTTCTATCCTCTGTCTTCACTGTTACTTTTTGTCTATCCTCATCTTATATGTTATCTAAGATATCTCAGCGGGAGACTTGAGGCCAGTTTTCCTTGTACTTTAATACATTTTGTCTACGCCTAATGTTAGAGATTGTCAGGATTGCAATTTTGGTTGATGTTGTGTAAGATGATGAAGATGCACAAGAAAGAGATGTTTATGAAAAAGAAAAGCCCAGGTCCGTTGTTTTTAATCATCACGATCAAATGTGAGATGGGAGGAGGAGGAGGAAGGTTGGAAGAAGTGAATAGATGATGGCCCAAAGGGATATTTCGACGACCAATTTGACCAATAAAAGTGTACATTATTTACGACGGAATCAATGATGAAATGCTTCTGATGGAAATAAAATAGCAAATATTGAAGGTAAATTTTTGGTTAAAAAGATGAATAAGATGAAACAGATCAAGGATAAAAGAGGAAAATATATATCCAACATAATGGGCAACATTGATAATTAAGTTGCCCCAAAAGAAGCCCTCTTTGAAAAATATATTTTAAATGCAAAAGCACGTTAAAAAAGAGGATCTACTAATCCCTCTTCCATCCTTGTTTTTGGCTTCTTACTTACCTTCTACTCCATGTGTCTTCACTACTCTGTAATTATCTTGAATAATAACCAAATCAATTGATGATGATTATGATTAGGACAAACGTTACGATCACATAATGTTAAAAACAAAATTAAATTAACTTTTCGAGAATTTATAACTTCGATTAACCATTAACATTATCATTATTTTTCCTTTAACATGAAAAAACCACATTGTTTCAATTTTCCATGCAAAGACAATGCATACTTTGAGAGGGAAATTATTGAAGCGGTAAAATTGATTCTTGACATCGTTTTTGGTAATGCATCAAAATGATTACATGGATATTTGCTTACATAGGAACCATCAATGGCCAATAGTTAAGGTAAGATTAATTCATGTTTTTTATTCATTATCTGCTCAATTTGTTTTGTTTTACCTGTATTTCGCCTTCACAAAGGTAAAGTTGCTTTAGTAAATTTTAGGATTTATTTATTAGTAAACAATTTTTTAGTTAATTTTGGTTTTAACATTCCAACATCGAACAACGATCATTGAAATCAACATTTATCTTCATCTCTCTTTCTTTCATTCTTCAGGCTACTTTCTTTTCTTGAGCCGACCTTCTACACCTTGGTTAAAGGTAACCAAAAAGCCCGGTAAGAAGTTCACTTTCTTTACTTTCAAGCCAATCAAATCTCCTCCTATTTATTTCTTTCTTCTCTTTCTTAAAACCTGTTTTTCAGGTCTTCTCTCTATCTTCTCTTTCTCTGTCTTCTTTCTCTAGCACTTTCTTTGAAACAAACACCAACAACAAGATTTCCCAAGAAAGCTGAGTCCATCTCACGTTAACATCGAGCCGATCAACACACATTACTGAAGACTTTCCTTACCTCAAGTCAACAACAAACAAACAAACTGCTTCAGCTACAATCTTAATCTGCTTTTTTATAATTATTATTCAGTTTCCTTCTTCTTTAACCACCAACATGCATGATACTTGTTATTTGAAACTGAGTTAATTGTATCTTTAAAAGATTCAGAATTTTGTGCAAAAGTTTCCCGTTCGAAAGCAAAGTGTTTCTCTTTTGAGAAAAATAGTGAAGCCAAATTATTTTGTCCAAATCGGGTTAGCTTAACCTTGCCATTTCTTGCCCTTTCCTCTCTCTCTGGAGATACACGTGATTACTCAGTACACCTGAGTTTGGATTTTTCCATTTCCATTGGCTTCTTATTGGCTACTTAACTTTTGACCAAACATCTTGTTTGACCTTTGACTGTGTTGTGTTTACTCTTGACTCTGACTCACCTGTTTGGTGTGTACCTCAACTCTTTACCCTAGAAGTGACCTATGCGAGTGTCAATGATGGTCAATTTAATTAAATTAGTGCTTCTTGTGATTCTCTTTCAATCTTATGTAAAGGGTCAACTTTCACCAACCGATGATTATGATTCCTCATTATCTATTACAACTACTAGTGAACCAGATCTGGTTTAACATCAACATCAACTGTGAAACCGCCAATCGTTAGACAGGCCAGAACAACATCAACACCTTCAATATCTTCACCTACAATACTTGCAACTACAACACCACAGTCAGATGATATTGTAACTTCTACCTCAAAACCAAATTATGTCTCAGCTGAGACTAGTGACATTGATCCAGAAAACAATAAAGAAGAAGTTAACACAGAAGTTGACAAAGAACATGATACATCATCATCAGTTACTGTAAATCCTATTATCAAGAGTATCGAGAAAAAAGTAAATGATTCAGAATTGATCGATTCAACTCCATCTCCAAAAGAATTGCCCAAAAATGAAGGAAAACTTGAAACTGAAACATCGAAACCTGAAAAAAACATGCTTGAGGTAATTTCCTCAACCATCTCAGATGATATTGATGAAAGTCGTAATGATCCAAAAACAACACAAAATCCAGCTGATAGTTTAGCATCTAAATTATCAACTGAACCTCCAAGCACATCTACTTCTACTACACCAAATCCAGAGCCATCACCAGGTTACCTTAACGATGAAGGATCAATGCCAAAAGATAGTCCAGATAATCGCGTAAGTCGAGCTAATTCAGCTCTCCTCAGTAATGATGGAAATAAGAAGGCGGAAAAATGGTTAAATGATAAAAAAGACCCAAAAGATAGCGCTGAAACGACAGAAGAAGGTGATAAAAGTGAAAGTAAAGAATCACTGAATAAGCCTGCAGCTGAAACATTAACCGGATCAACTGAATCATATGAGTTTCCGGAAGATGACCTTGATAACCTTACTTTGCCCAATTTCGAGACAAACTCAGTTGTTGATATTTTAAATGGCAATGATTCAACAAATGATCCCGAAGCACCAGCAGTTAAGAGTTTCTCTGTTGAAGGTTCTTCTGGTTCTGGTTTGCTAATCAGAATCTTTCAAGGACCCGATCGCTCAAAACTACCAGTTGACTCCAAAGCCGAAGATATTTATCGTTACATTTCAGGAATAGTCGACAATGAAACATCTCTTATCGCTAAATCAATTTTACCACATGTCGTTGAACTGGGTTTCAAAGTTCGCATTGATGGTAAATGTTCCAGATCCATTTTGGCAATTTCCAACGGAGTTAAAGCTAAAAAGACTTGGGCTTTCCAATGTAAGTACAATTTCACAATGAGGGTGAAAATTACTCTGATTGATTAATAGCTTGAAACAAGAAAATTAATTTTTTGCTAATTCTCTTTACAGTTTTGGATTCTTATGGACGACGTGAAGATGGCTTTTTGGCTGGAACTTTAAGTTCTCTCGGCAATTTTGACCAATGCTTAAAGATTCGAGCTACTGATGATGCCATTTCAGAAGAAGACGAATTCTCTGGAAAATATTGTTTAGCCCAAGTAAAGCCACCTTTACCTGAACAATCAAAAGACGGAAGGTTCACCTTCAAATCTTCTTTACTTAACTATGCTGGCACAGAACTGGAAAATACGGTCAGTATTTTTATTCAACTTTTACTTGTTTCTTCTTCTTACCTTAACCTTTACCAACCATCACCCTAAAGCAATTTAACCTTGTATCTATTATTAACAGAAAAATAGCTTTCATAAACAATGTTAACATTTCTATGATGAAAAGTTGACCTGGTTTCTTCGATTTTTTCATACCTGATCTGTGTGGTCTAGACCTTTTCACTTTTATTTGTTTACCTTTCCTTTTACACCAAAACATTTGACCATCTCACAAAAAGATTATAAACTTTCCCAATAATGCTTTTACCAAATATATCTTTAAACTTAACCTCTACTAATCCTCCCAAATCACACCATTTTTCATGTTTACTAGGATGTTTGATTCTGAACATTTATCACCCTAAATGGGTTAATGGAATGAATAGCTTTTTATTTTCTACTTAAATGGTAAACAATTGCAGTCATCAACGTTCTAATTGTGATTATTTTCTTTCGCTTTACAGTATCTCGAAGAATGGGGTTCATTCGCACACGAATTATATTCCAATGCTTATACAATCGGAATGTGCATACCATCAACCTGCCAATCAAAGGACATTGCCAAAATATTGAATGAATGTAAGTCAAAGGATTGAATCAAAATCAGGAGTTAATGGTTAAAAATATAATAATAACACGAGACACACAAAAGAGATGCTGATTTAAGATGGCAGAAAAAGTGTATCAACACAAAAGATAGCAACCATCAAAAACAATCAGCAAACCATTATATCCTGTTTGTGATGTTTTTTATTTTTGATCTTGATTGTTAATCTAGTTTCTATATTTCTCCTTTTTTTATTGCAATTAGTGGCAAATCCATTTAATTTCACGGTCACCTTCAATGCAAGATGTACACCAGAAACAAATTATTGGGAAGCTCAATCACCTCCTGAATATGCTCTGTAAGTAAATCAAAGTTAATTTTTTAAAAACAATAATCTAAATCTTACTGGTTGCTCTACAAAATTGATTAACATTTCAATCTTTGAGCAAAAAATGTTGAAATTGATGATGCATACTCATTCAATTTAGACATACTTAACAGTGCGTTGATGTTTTCATGATGATTACCTTTTGAGATTGATCGTCTGTATTATAAAACAATATTATACCTTACAATTCATCAAAAGATGTAAAACAAGGTGATAAACTGATGATATCCTTGAACCTCACAAAAGTAATCTTGAAACCTTTTCTTTAGAATCTTCAATTTTCTTGAAAATTAAGGTAAACAGGGAACCACCTCAAGTCTAATGTTATGTCCATAGAAACACCTACATTGTTTGATAAGATCGTTGAGTGTCATTAAGAGCTTAAACTATCATTTAGTGATTTCTGGAGAAATATTTTACCCTGGAAAATTTAGATTTCCAAATCAATTTCAAATCATTTTCTGTTTCAATCCAATTACCTTCTCTGATTGAATCCATTGTTTCTTATCGTTTTGTCCTACAATTAACTTTGAAGCTCGACTTAAGTAGCAAGTTAATTAAACTGTCATCAGCTGTTAAACATAATGAGTATAAAAGGTAGACAAAAGGGTAACAACTTAGAAACTAGTCAATTCCATGAAAGATTTTCTTATGTATTCCAAGCATGTACGTTAACCCTTTGAGCAACTATTTTTGTCCCAAAAAAAGGGAAAACTCTGTGTTGAACAAAGCAGGAGAGGAAATGGTGTTAAACAAGTCAAAAAGTAGAGTATTTGCTTAAATTATCTGGTAAAATTATCAAGTGAAATTAACATTTGTTGATAAATTTCACCCAAACCCCAATCATTAAAAGCATGATAATTATGTTGGTGATGATGATGACCGTGATTTAATTGACTTTGATTTCGTGACTTAAACTCTGTGTCTTTGTTGTTTATCAAAGTGCCCTTCTTTGTGTATAAAAACCCATTTACCTCTTTTAACGTTTAACAATTAACAATTTAATTCTCATCTCTCAATCTTCATTTCATTTTACTCTGTTATTTTCATTCATCTCTACCACAGTTAAAATAATTACATCCATTATAAAACTGTAGACTGATGATGTTGCTCTTGATGGTCATGATAATAATGGTCAGGTTTCCATGTTACCTGCTCGAGGCGCGATTCAAACTCTTATAAGATATGAAAACTGGATTAACTATTCACTTGAAATTGACTAGGTTAGGTTTTACCTTCAAACCTAATCTTAGATAATACATTACGTTAATCAACCTAACCTTTCAACCCACTGTCTGCTAATTTAGCTATCTTTTAGGCCCATTTTACCAGATTTAACATTTTGATATAAAAAGACTTTTCTGGTTGAAAAAAGCTCAATCGTATTATTAAGTTGATTTGCCTCTTTAGAGACAATCTCAATGTACACTGATTTACGCTGATCAATTTTGATATAAACACTAGACTCAATTAGCCAACTAATTATTCTGGTTTTCCGTTGAATCCAGCTTGATTAGCTCATAATAATTAGCTATTACCTCAAGAAAATTTAATTCACTCACATCCCCTGTTAGGCCTCAGATGTTGTCTAAATCATCTAATAGATGAAACCCGGAAGATTATCATTTATTAATAAATTTTCAATTTTTCTAATGGTTTCATATTAAACAAAAGATTAACATTGAAAATGAAATTGTTTAATCTTTAAATGCAATCTGTGAATATAATGAGCTAAATTTGAATTGAAATTGAACTTCAACCTGACCTTTCTCAATCAGATTAACTGATTCCTTTTTTTCATGTAATCTGCCAGTTTTCTGCCAAAATTGAACTCAATCTTGTAAAATAGTCAGCATTCCTTGAAAAAAACCCTGTAATTATTCACTCTAATATCAAGTCTTTTTGAAGAGGCGCAAAAATATAGTGATGAGGATGTTGATAAATTTACATTGTATTAAAGTGAAACCAGTTATTTCAAGTTTTCTTGTACAAACGAGAAAAATTGCCAACTGTGAAGCCGTGATGAACACACCAAGAAAAATGATGAAAATGGATTTTTCATCTTCTATCCATTACATCGTCGTTTATCGAGCTTAAAGAAATGTTAAAACTGAAAGTTACTTAAGATGCGCATTATTTAACTTCAAATAAAGCATCTGAATAAAGTTGCGTTTCTTTCAAATCTTTTTCAATCCGTTGAATTACTGTCTGATTAATATACAGTGTAAAGGTTATCCAACACTTTTTGTGTCTTCTTATGGCCAATTTAAATCTAAATTGGTCATTTCGAGCCATGAAGTGCATTTAAACCTCAAAGCTGATAATGTAAACCGTGAAAAGGTCAAACCTTGAGACTATCTTTTTTTGGTTGGAAAAATTTCCTTAGACTCTCATCATTATCCCTATGACCCTAGAGGTTGACCTTAAAATACCAGTTACCTTTGAATAAACTTGACCATAAAATTACACTGAAAGCTAGAGATGACGATTAGTCGGCTTGTTATTCACGTTTAAATGCAATGTAAATCACGTAAAGAAGTTATCTTGAAGCAATTAGTTAATCGTCCAATAATGTTGATGGATGAGCACAAAGTAACAATTTAACCATTGATCACCTTGAATATGTGAAAAGTCAATTTCAATCTTGATTTCGATATTGATGATAATCGAGAAAAAACTGTCTTCATTCACCCTTAAGCTAATCATTGTAATCTCATTGCTAATTGTTGAAGATAAAAGTAAAAATGCTTCAAAGCCTGCAATTTTGGTTTTTACAGTTAGTATTGGAAACATTTTCAACAAAATTTCAGTCGATTTCATATTTCAAAGATAATCCTGTGAATTGTTTCATGGGTTTCTAATGACCATTCAATGTAAAAGTAAAACATCAAGTTGATCATCAAATGTAATCCATTTGACGAAGCTTTGCCTTTTGACTGTTTATGATCAATCTAATTGTAACATTTGATTTCCATTTTTGTCCATTTGAATAGCAAAACACATTTAAATATCAAAAATCCGAATAAACCTTTTCTCTATTTGGACCTTTCCCTTTTTTTGCTTTACTTTTTGTTAATCTAAATTTACTTTTAAGCTGTCATATTTCATGAAAATGAAGTGCATCAAAGTAGATTATAATTGGTCTGTTAGCCAATTTAAATGATTACTTTTAATCATGAACTTTTTCTTGAAAGATTTGTGCTCTCAAGAATAGGAAATTATTTTATCTGGACAACTTTATTCACTTTACATTGCAACAATCATCTGTTTATCATACATTAAAGTTGAATAGGAAAAAACAGAGTTTCATGTTGATTGCCTTGTTCAAGAAGAAAGTCTTCTCTTATCAAAAATCCAGTTGAGCTTGAAACTAACCTAAACTGATCAGTAATCATCATTAAATTGTCTCGAGGGTTTTTCCATATCATGTAGTCATACATGGCTTTACCATGGTCTTACGTAAATGCGTTAAACACGATACAATCTGGACTTTACATTTAACTCTTACTTCAATTTTAACAGTTACATCCAATTGCTAGAAATATTGATTTGCAAAAAGGGAAGTCAACAGTGTAACTCAATTCGATTATGAATTAAACTGTCAAATTTTCAATCACTTTGAAGACTACATTTTATTTAATTTCAAGTTTGCTCCGAAAATCAAAATGCAATTAAATGTAAGTCTGTCTGAAAAATGATATCTTTTGAAAACAAAAAGTGAGACAAATTTACCGTTAATCATGTCTTCACGTTTATGATTATTTTGAATTTGTTCAAGTCTGATTGATTGGTAATATTGTACTCAGAGTTAGGATAACACGACTTTAGGATTTGCTATTTTTTCATCATTTTGTTTCATAGAAGCTTGATTAAGTCTCAAAACTGATTCCTATTATTGAATGTTGAACACCATTTCCTTGTAGGACACAGCAGGACATTTCATGATTAAAGTCATAGACCTTTGATGAGACAAGAAGTTTTCGTGTTACCTGAGAGCGGAAGACATTGAATCTCATGATCAGCAGGGATGAACCAGAATATGATTTTGTGTGTTCAAAATAGCAACAACCTTGACATTTGGGTTTTACATTGTTCGTCTGATTGTCATTAGAAGGAATCTTTGATGAGAATACAGTTAACCAGCATTTATTAAATACTTCATGGAAAAGAAAATTACGGTTGATTGAAAAATGTTCCAACAAGAGTTAGGATTCCGTGAATAGATTAATCAATTGAAAACAAGGACTGTTATTTAGGAAATTTTGAAATAAACTGGAATCACTTTCATTCAACTTTCATCTTCATGTTGACTGATTCAAACAAAGGAAAGTTGATGAGAAGGAAGATTCTTTCAATTAGATTTGACTTTCTTTTCTTGAACCTTGAGCTGCTTCCCATCCGGAGTCATCCATCATCTTGAATGATAAACAAAACCTTTTCCAATCCGTTGATAAACAGATATTTTTTTTTCTCTCCATCATATTATTTATCAAATTATCTTTACATGTATTTATATAATAAAATAATAAATACACAGCTGTAACGTATTTCATCTCTTTATAACATTTCCTAGCTTTACATCAATGTAGTAAATTGTTTTTAACGGTGTAAATATGAAGTTGATCATTTGCACCTTTCAATGTAATCAGTTTTTTCTTTCATTTCTTTTCCTTTTTCTCTGATAACTTCTATGGAATCGGTTGATGACCTGGAAAAAGCAGAAGTTGTTGCCCATTTCAAATTTTCCTTTTCCATTTTTGAACCATTCATATGTTAACAAGTTAACAGTTGAAAATACACCTTGACAGAGAAACAAAACATGAATCGTGAAATACACGCAGCACCATCATGATCTTGTTATCCAATCAATTTTTGAAGCTGAATCTCTTTTATCTTCATCCTATTAACTCTTTTGCACTTTATTGAAGCAGTTTTCATCTAATGCCATCACCACCATCATTTGATTATCTCATAAATGTTGATTTGCCATCCAAATATTTCTCCGTTTGGTTTAAAATTTGAATCAAATTTTCTTTGAAAATATTCGGCAGAATCAGCTATATTAGGCTTTAATACTTCGAAGGGTGAAACTTGTTGCTGGTCCGTCTATTGGTTTTGCAGAGGCAATTACCATCAGCTTTCTCTCCAATTTATAATTTGATTTAACTTGGATATCTGTTTGAAAAGGTAGACAAGGCTTGAAATTAAAGTGAAATCAAAAAGGTGAAATCATAAGTATTGGAAAAGGTGGAAACACTGAAGACAGATAAATTTTTAAGAAGCACTTTAGTAAATTTGCCAACTTGTTCTTTTCCTAAATTGTTGCTCTTGAAATTACTTAGAAATTAAGTTCATTCTTGAGATAATGAAGTAAAATAAGATTGACAAAACGATATAAATTATGATTCTTGGAACTGGAAACTAAATTGTTGTATCTTCAGTTTAAGAATATTGTTTCTATTTGTTTTGCGTTGCTTGAATCTAATTCAATGTTAATAATGATAATGATAAGCTAAAGGAACTTGAAATGATGAAAATAATGAAATGAAAAGATAAAAAGTGAATGACTGAATAAAAAGTGTTGATCATAATTGGCAAGGTAACACGCATAAGAATGGCAACGGTAAATGTTAGGCTTAGTGGTAATGATAATGCTATTAACGGTATGATGCTATTGTGTTATTTTGATTTCCTCAAGACCACACGGAGATCTACTTTACCGGACATTGCCATCAATATTCATATAAAACATTAACCAAGTTAGGAATCTCTAATCTCTCGAATATCTCTTTCACCAAACTTCTTGCTTTTATAATGATGTTTATTGTATCGAAGTCAATGATAATAACAAACTTTTTTTTTGTTCTCTATTCATTATTCTGTGCAGCTTCATTTTGTGCCTTCTTGGACTAATGGTTGGCTTTGGAACAGCATATGACTTTTATATCAGGAAAAAGGAGGAAAATTGTCTGGGACGATTATTCGCTGCCTTTTCCAGTATTTCAAATACTCATGTTTTGTTGGGTCACAAGAAGGGTGAAACAAAGAAGGAAAAGCTGGCCAAGGAGAGACAAATGTTGGCTGGTCAATCTCTATCATGGATTCACGGTCTTCAGTTTCTCTCAGTCTGTTGGATTGTGATAGCAAATGTCTATCAACTTGGAGGATTACCAATAGCGTATCTTTTAAGTAAGTAACGATTCGATGCAAACAATTGACTTAATCATGTCCTTGCACGAAAATTTAAAAAAATGAAAAAACAAACACGTAATAATGAAGATTTCATTTCATTCAACAGAAAATCTGAATATGGATTTCAGATCACAAGGAGGATCCCTTATGTTCCAATTCATTTTAAATTCATGGGACTACATGGCTGAACTGTTTTTCCTTTTAAGGTGAGTAACGATATAAAATCTGCAATTTTACCAAAAACTGGCGAGACAGAAAAATCAGCAATAAAAAAGATGCTCCATATGAAAATTGGATCAAAAGTTATGGCTAGTAAACTTGTACAATGAAATAAACACGTAGATACATCATTTTCTCAAGTCCGTTTTAACAGTTTCTTTGCAGGCTTGAACGAGTTCAATTGTCCAACCTTGAAAAAAAGATAAATTGAGAATCAGTTAGGGATGAAAACGGATTAAGTTTAAATTGTTTGCTACACTTACAAGAATGATCTTCCAACTGGTAAAGCTAAATCCACTTGCATTGACTCCAATAAATGACAATCGTGGTGAATAGAAAAATAAGAACACTTTGACTAGCGAAACAAACACTTTTTTATCACTAATGTAGAAAGTTTAATACAAATTTGATCACTTAAAATGACAATAATAATGAAAATTTAAAAAATTAAGGATCCAAATTTGAAAAAAGTCGTTATAACGTACAATAGGGACTTTAGATTAATTTAAAACAGTAAAAGCGGTTAATTTTTAACAAAAGACATTTTATGTAACATGTGACACATCATGTGATCCTTTAACCGAAAAATATCTTTTGTTTAACTCAATTTTAATCTCATTGGTTTATATTTGAATTTTATAATTAAATTCTAAGATTTTTTAAACAATTATGGGCTATTATCTGATATTTAGTAATTTCAAGTAAAATATTAATTTCCCTTTTCTTCATTCTCTTTCACAGTGGATTCGTGTTTTGCCTCGGCTTATTGGGAGCTCGAGAAAGGAAACGTTGTCCAACTTTTGGTCGTTTCTTTATCCGCCAATGGCTATCTTTTGCACCTTCTATCATCGGTGCCATCTTAATTACTCTAATTGTTTTCCAATGGTCATGGCAAGATGGACCTTCCTTTAGTAGAGCTGAAAAACTAATCGTTGAACCATGTAACCAAAATGGAGTTGCTAGTATATTTTTATTCAACAATTGGCTTCCAGTCAAAGATATGGTAAGCTTTCATTTTTTTTATAGCAAATTATCAAGTCAACTTTTAATTAGTATTCTGATTAGTCTGTCGAGGGTATAACCAAACCTCAATTTAAGGTAAACATTTCTAATGAAAAAAAATAACATCGAAATTTCATTGAATCCCAAAAAGTGATTAGTCTAACGGTTTAATCGGATGGTCGATCAAGCTTGTTATTAACAGGTATTGCCTTTTACCTCTTGAACTTAGACAAATAGAAAAATTAATTTCCTTTATAATTAATAAATTTATCAAGCAACATTTTCCAATTAAACAAGTTGTTATTAAATCGTAGCAATTACGATTAAATAACTTGTTTAATTTAATAACACTAGTAATTATTTTTGAACCTTGAAATGCAAGTAAAATATCCACAGAACCAAAATCAGTATCAATTTTTGTATCATCAGAATCAACAACAATATGCTGTAAATAAGCGTTTGTGAGTCATTCCATCAACAAAAATATTTACCTAAAATCTGTCAAGGTAACATAGTGCTATAACTACACCAAAAAAACATAAAGCTGAACAAAGCAGAAGCTTTCAAGTTGACTGTAAAATGCATAATAATCAAATGCCTCAGGTTATATATTGTTAATTCAAATTATTAACCTTGAAAGTGATAGTTGATGAAAGAGCATCCAAATTGACCTGCAATATCCTCTCAATTGGCAGTTGATTAGCCTATCAATTTGTCTGGATGAAATCAGTGACCAGATTACTCTATTTTTAAAAATTTCAAGTCATGTATTACCTTAATTCATCTCATTATGAGCCTTTCACTTTTCAGCGAAACTCATCTTGAAACATTTCCAATCTCAATGAGCAAGGTCAATATTGTGAAGGTGGTTTAACCAAAAAGCCATTGAATGTTTATTGAATTATTTACAAAAAACAGCTTTAAACACTTATTGTTACTTCAACCCAATCAGCTTTATGGACTGGACATTATGGACTACATTACTACCATTAGTCATCTTGAGTGACGCTTTTGTTTGAACTGTTTTACTTTGCTTTAACCATTAACGACTCTTTTCATTACCTGAAACTGAAAAGGTAAAAGTGAATTTTCAGGCAAATTTTGACACCAAAAAAGGGTGTGAGTCAAATCATCTCTTTATTAAATGATATTAATTATGATCAGTTAATCACGCATGTATTCAGCAAGGTCAGTTATCATCAATCCCTTTGAAACGTGTTTCAATTGTTATTAATGCTTGAGGCAAACGTTTAGCTCAACGCTTATTAAAGGTCAGTAGTTAATCGTCATCAGGTTTAACCATATTTTACCCATTCTGTTGCTAATTTTCCCATTTTTACCAAACATTTCATCAGGCTCGATAATTGTATTGAAATATTAAGATTTTAAATCAAATAATGAGCTATGAATGATTTAAGTTTCACTTGACAATTCAATGACCACTTCGTAATCTTCACTATTTAGCCCCAAAAAACCATCAATATTATCTTCGGGCAAGATTTTGATTCTATCGTTCACATCTAAATCATTTCATCATGAATCAAATCTTTCAACTCAGTGACCAACTTATTCAATTTACACTTTACTATATCAATTACAGTTGAATTTAAATTACAACTTATCTAAATGGCGATTTGAATTTGACTATCTACTTTAAATCTAATTTACTTTAATTAGCAATTCAAAAGCAATTTTGTTTACACCCATTCAATTGAAAGAATTCAATTTCAATTGGTTATCACAATCAAACTTTTCTATTATCAAGTAAATTGATTATATTGGACACAGAATATAATAATTCATTGGACCAATTAAGCTGTTAAACTGTGTGATAATTTAATTCAATTTATACTCTCAGCAATTGATAATAAAAATTGCAACAACAGGTTAATCCAAGCACTCCCAACTCAATTTATTATAATAAATTGATTCACAATTCAACCTTTTCAGTTGTATCTGCAAGAGTTGACATTATATTCGGAGGCCTAATTGTACTTTGACTATTAATGATTATAATTATACAAATAGTCAGGTTAACTCTCTTACCTTAGACTCTCACAATAATTTCAATTGAAATATCTTTAATGGCCTCTTGGCCCTTATTTTTATGGTATTTTACAAGGCCAAGACTGAGGCCAGATTCAAGGTAAAGAATGGGGCGAATCGAACAAATATAAGTATACGATTCGAGCGATTTAGTGAGTCAGGTCATAATACCATAGAAAGCTTAATATCGTGCTAAGCTAAAAAACAAATCATAAATCTTAGTAATCTAAATGATTACTTCAATGTGGGTTAATCTCCTCTTGTATTTCATAGCAAAAATAGCAATGACATTAGCGAATCGCCAATATCCCAACGTCAATAAATCGTGAAATTATCTCTCGCTTTATTCAGACAATTTCAATCCTGTCACAAAAGTACTAATTAAAATCATTATAAATCAAAGATTCAATGATATTTCTCTGGTAACAATTTTCCAGTTATCCTTTTCTCAATTTTCATCCTTTTGAAACCTTTTCTAAGGATGGACTCTAATTAATTTGATTGCTTAAACTGAAGCTAATTTTTAAATTATCAATCAATAATCAGCTTTAATGTTTACCTTTTAAATTGAGTGAAAAACACTTTTGATTGTCTATCAATTTTGTTCAAATTGCTATCAACTGTTAGCTCATTTTAATAATTTCAACTAATTTTATTTCTCTCATTCTTTCACAGTGTTTACCTCAAACATGGTTCCTAAGTGCTCTATTCCAGCTCCAACTTATTGGCTTCATGGTTATCTTGATTATCCACCGAAAACCCGCTCTTGGAGTTACTTTATCGCTCCTACTCATTTTACTTGGAATAATTTTACCTGGTTTACTTACCTATCAATATAATTTACCACCAACCATGCTTCTCAACAATCCTAACATCCAGTTAGTATTATTATCTGGTTCTCCAGAAAAAAAGCAACAAATAATCGTCTTTCACCTAATGAACTAACCATCAACATTAACAGAATCTCAAGCAATACAAGCAAACACATTAATAAATTTAGAGTCAGACAAATGAGAAAAGGAGAGTGAAGTGAACATCACATTTTAATGAACTTCTAATGATTAATATTGATTTTCTGGCTAGTTAGTTTACAGAACTAACTGGGTAGGTCAAACAATATTTAACCTTTTCTCTCGTAGGCGATAATTTTATTACTTACATATAATTGAATCAATTGATGTTCAATCATTATTTGATTTTCACTCTCTCCATGCTTTCTTAGACTTTCACATGATAGACTGTACTTTTTTTTGTATCAACAATTTTTCTTTCACTTTCTCGTTTGCTGAATATCGCTTATTGATTGATAATAGCTTTTTTTATTGTGAGACTTTTCATTTACAGAGTAAATTTGAGTGGACTTCATTTCTTAATTCCTCTTGAAATTTAACAATGATAATAATTGTTTGATTTCTTCCTATTCATCCTTTTCTTCTTCTTTATAACAGGCAACTTCGCGATGACCTTTCAATACAATATTTTGCAACTTATAACCACCTATCATCTTACTTTGTTGGAATCCTGTTGGCTTATTTAATTTACAAGAAACCTGCAAAACCAATAATAAATAAGGTACGAGAAAAAACTGAGTATTGTCTGTTATATTATTGTTACTGTGAAAAGTAAATTTACTTCATGATTTAACCGTCTGTTTCATTGTTACTTTCATAGGGTCTTCGCTTTGCTATCTGGATTGTTCTTGGTGCCATAAGTTTATCATCAATATTGATTACCTGTAAATGGAATGGATTCAAAGACATTCCCAATCAAACTTCATCTATCATTTACTCAGCATTACACCGAATTGCGTTCATTTCATTCTTTATCTGGCTAACTCATCAATTTACTTTCAAGCAAGGAGGTAAGCCTAATCAACTGCAAGCTTTACTAATTAAATCAATTTTCCTTTTTTTCTGTTAGACATTCTCATTAATTAAGCCAGTTATCTGTTAACACCATGATATTGACATATCTAGAAGTGCAGCTACAAGAAAAAGATAGTTTATTTTAATTGATTATTCAGCGCCTTCGGTAAACTTGAGTTAACCTGTTGCTTGTCCAGAATGGTTATGATTAATTCTGAATCGGCACATTTGATTAGTTTTCTATTAAATCGCTGTTCCTCTCTACAGCTTGGGTTCATACAGAAGACACAAATTTAGAGTTAATTATCAGTTTTATTCTCATTTAAACATTTTTCACTCTCAAAATTTGGAGCTTCAGAGAGGCAACATTTACTTCTGTTGCTGATATTTTTTTCTGTTAACAAAAGTTCCCTTTCTTGGCTCACTTCTGCAACCTGTAATAATGATACCAACAGCAAGTTGTTTTCAATGAGCAGAGAAAAGGGAATTTTTAGACGTTTCTTCGTCTATGGTAGGCATATATTTACCTTGAGGATATAATAGTAACCATTTTATAAGTTGGGTTGAAAATGATTCAAATTAGCGGGTATCATTTTATATAACTTATCAAACATGAAATTAACTAGTGAATAATAATGATATTGACTCTCAGTTAATCGTTATTGTGACATGGCTGTTATGAATGTCTAATTTTTACGTTCACTTCAACTACTACTAGCAATATCGATTGCTTTTGTTGTCCTGTTGATACTGTTTTAGTTCACCTTTTGTTGCTCCAGTTTAAACTTGTTTTTGTGGAACCAAAGGACAGATCAAGAGATAGTGTCCAAAAAGACTTGCTCTTTGACCACCTAAGATCAATTTGAATACATTGTATTGTTTATAATGATTAACTGCTTTTCAATTTTTCTCTGTCAACATTTTCTTTCATGTTAGAAACTAGAAAGGTTAGATTTTCTGAGACAATTGTACATTTTTTGACTTGTTTTCTTGCAAGTGATCAATCAATTTGAGATATCTTATTCATTTTGTGAAAGTTTACCTTTAATTTATCTCAATTCTGTTGTCATGTCATTTCAACTTAATTACCAATTATGGTTTTCTAAGGTTTTTTCCAGTCTTCCTTTTCTCTGTATTTTTCTCTGTCTATTCTTTTATTTGTAATTATTCAAATTGTTCTCTATTCTTCTTATTTTAGGAATCGTTGGCCGTTTCTTGTCGTGGAAAGCGTTCAAAACACTAAATGGTCTTAGCCTTCAAGTCTATTTGGTCCATTTGATTATCATTTGGAACTATTTCCTCACAAAACGTGATTTAGTTGATTATCGTAACTTTGAGCTGGTAAGTTCACCTAATCATTATTTTTCCTCAACTACTACCTATGCTAATGAATACTTATTCAAATTATTAATTAAAATCAATTTCATCTATTTTACAGACTGTAGATTCTTTTGGAATAATATTAGCCAGTTTGTTCTGTGGTTATCTAATGTATTTGTTCATTGAAGCTCCATTCCATCAAATAACTGCTGGTTTTGTTAAATGTTTATTTGGTTGTGACCTTAAATCACGTCTTCGTGAATATGAAAATGAAGCTGACGCTAATATTGGCGACTCAATTGGAGAAGAGAAGAAAACTACAATTGAAGAATCTCTTTGTACCGTTGATGGCTCTACATTAGGCAATAACGAAGTCCGTATTGAAGTATCATCGCCAACAGAGGATAACTCTCAAGATAAACAACAGTCACAATTAAACACAGAATCTAAAAATGATCAACAGTCAAATCAAGAGCAAATTTCATTACAAGATCAACCACAGGCACCAGCAGGACCTCAAGCACAACCACAACCAAATGGTATCAACAACAATGGAGTGGTTATAAGGCTTTAAGAGATGATAATTTGCCTACAAGAAGAATGTATAAATACAATATTGAAATACAAAATTAAGTCAGTCAAATCAAGTTAGAAATTACAATACAATGGATGTGATTGTGACTTGAAAAGTGAAATCGCCGTGATGAATACTCTTCTTGATAATTTAAATACTTCAGACCAAAAGGCCAACTTTAAATATTTAATCAGACAACGTAAAGATCAAAAGTGGATTGAATGCTAAAAAAAGCCACAAATTTTAAAAGAAAAATTGACTTCAATTGACAATTCAAATTTGCAAAAATTCTAGTTTGATAAATAATTTGCTACATTTTTTATTTTAATTATTATTATCACCTTTTATATATATCTCAAAAATGAATTGTCCTGTATTTACAACTATAGACAGCAAATTGTCACATCGGGAATGTGAATGTATATGTTGTTATACCAAATTTTTTCTCATCAACTAATTTCAATCAACAATTCAACTCGACGTAAACAATTGATATGAAACAATCTTTATGAAAAATTGAATGCAAAAGTAAATTTATTGACAAAATTATTTTCAATTTAATGAAATTTGAAAATTTCGCATGACAAACGAAATAAACAAATGTTTAACTAAAATTTTTCTTATTTTATTTCATCCAAATATTTGCTGAAACAATCAAATATTATTATCACTTCCGAACTAAAGTATCGAATCAAAAATAATATCAGATTAATGATGGCCATCTTCATATCTATGGATAAATTGACCCTTGATGAGCTACTTGACATTGTACTTGATCTGTCTCTGATCGGACTTGAAAATTCTTGATTTTCTTACTTTATTTCGTCAATAAGCAACTGTAGTTAGCAATTTTATGGGTGAACTTAATAGAAAAGAACAAATTATCAGATTTTGCTGATATTCAGTGGTATTTTGGGTATTTTGTGAAACTAGATCAATACAGTTTACAAACAATCTTTGAAAATTTGAATATTTCACGTAGAGAAATCAGTAATATAATAGATGTGAAATGAATAAAAGATTTACAATGTTCGCTAAACAGTGTTTTGAAATATTTCATACAATCATACAAAATAAGCTTTCTGAACAGATGAACATTCTTTTAAATTAATCTTTAATTATTTGTATAAAATATAACGACAGTTAAAAAAATAAAACATGAATATAACATCTTTCAAATCGATTAATAATCAATATAAATCAACAATAAAAGAAGACCATTAAAATGAAATTGGTGTGAGATATCAACAGATGGACACGTATTTACTCAAATGATTTCTCATCTTTTCGTAAACCTTTTCATCAATAGTATTAGCTTTAACATAATTGTCCAACGTTGGGCAGGAATTGAGCTGTTCATCAGTTAATTGTGTGGCTGTACCATCCAAATATTCAGGTCGATTCTGTGGAGTAACCATTGAGTATAAAGTGTCGCGATCAATGAAAATCATCTTTTTCCATAAGTATTTGGGAAAGAAATATTTGATCACTTGAAGGATCATCTTGAAGCCAAAAGACATATCAAGGAAAGCAATGTATTCAGCCGATGGAGGATATTTTCGAGTATAGATATCCAATATCTCTTTGAGTAAACCAATATCAACTTGAGCGTTGCGACAGTCAAATATAATAGCCAACCGTTTGCCTGATTTAAGGACACAATTACGCATAGTTTCACATTGCCAGAGAAATTGTTTAATTATAAGTGGATGAAGCTCTTTGGGTCCAGGATTGATGGATAGTTGGATGAAAAAAAGTGGATGCCCTGATTTGTCTAAGCCTTTGGCCATGAAAAGTCCAGTTGAATGGATTTCCCTTGGAATATCTTTGAAGGATAAATCAAGAATCGCATTCTCCTTCCTCCATATACAATGGTGTCTAAGCGATTCCATGGCCGAATCAACCTTCCATTCATTTGACTCCAAAAACAGGGTTAATCCTAAATCATTGTTGCTCAGTGATTTGATATCTCTAGAGTCATAGATGTTACCACGGTTGGCAATGTCCAGGTTGAAATGTTGTTTTAACTCTTCCACTTTGAATCGATGGCGATCATCTTCCGTTTCAGGTCTGATTTGAATCCAATAATGGCCAACAAGAATATGATAGATAAATGAAAAAAAGGTTGATTAATTTAAAGACTAAATGAAGGTTAAGATGATTCTTTTGGTGGATTAACTTGTTTGTTATAATTGCTTTTCAGCTTGAACACTAATTTGTGAAAGGTCAATCTGTTTGGAAGTTGAACTTGAAGTGACCGTTTGACCGAAGTAAATATTCATTAGTTTGAAGAAAATTATTATTCATTTTAATTTATGAAAACAATAAGACAAATTGCGTTTAATCTATCAGTCCTCATACTATTGTTATTAACAATGTTACAATTTCCGAGTGAAGCTAAGAAATTCAATGAGCTGTAAATAGATTGAGTTGAGCAATTCAAAGATGAGTAATTTCATAACAAAGAGCAATAATTTAAGGATTTAATTATAAATTGAATTGAGATTGACATGTTTACTTGAAAGATTCCCATAATTCGTAGGTTTGCTCAAGAACTTTTAAATTTTAGACGAGATTTCAGATCAAAAGCTTTATCTAATGAAATACAAATGAAGCTGACGAGATTGCTAATGAATCGATAACCTTTGCTTTACGGTTGAACTAATTAAATTTTACCTTGCTATCAATATTGCTAATTTGGTAGACTTTATGGTAATGAAATGATTTTGCATGAAAAGGTTGACTAAATTTGAAGGGAGGCTTTTTGGTTGAAATTACATTTATAAATCAAGCTAAATGAAAATCAGTTTTGGTCTAATCCATTTGTTTGTGGGATAAAAAGGTACATAGAAAGCTGGGCATAAAAGTTATAAAGTATTTCTTATTGAAGCCTGAGATATTCCTTAAGCTAAATTAGTTACGATTTCATGGTGAATAGATAAACACATTGAACAGACTAATAAGCTTAATATAGATTATGTATGTTGAAAAATGAATGAAAGAAACCTGAATCAGTTTAAAGTTATGAGTTATTAACTTGATATACAAGCTACGGTGTAACATGACTATGGAATCTAATGAGAGTTTAAAAGGAATAACCTTACCTGATGAGTTCCGGATTACCATCATGAAAGGCAGCATTAACCAGAAAGTTCATGGTGAAACAATGGCAAAAAAATGTACACACAATTTACAGAGATTGAAGATATGTGATAAGAGATATGGATGGAAGCTCAAGTTGACGCGAAGACAGCTGATACTGGGTTGAAGAAAGTGAAGGCAGAAATGATGGTTATATCGAGTCAGTTTGTTGTTTACTTGGATATTAAAGGAGATCAAATAGAAGGCCAAAAGTGAGATTAACCGAATCAAGTGAGTATAGTTAATAAGGCTAAAAGTCCTTCAGGTCATCATCATAATCAACAACATCGTATTTGTAATCAGCATCACCATCTTTACACTTTCACCATCCGCCTCTTATGCTTTCAGGTTGATAAACAAGTGACCAATGTTCACCTTTTATGTTTGTGTTTATAAACACAAACAAGGCCAAACACCTTACCAACCTTACTAATTGATATTGAATATGTAATATTTGTGAATAAGTAAATCTTGATAGTAGCAGTTGATGAAGCGTAATAATTTCAGCTTTTAAATTGGCTTCTTCATTGGTAAACACAGTCGAGGTTAAGGACATACATCAAGTTGACTCGTTGTCGTCACATTTTGTTTGGTTAAAATGATGTAAAATGTACCTAAATTAATAATAACATGAGTGTATGTAATGAACACTGATAATCCAATTATTGAATGATTTTGATTGATAATAAGCGTGCATAGCTGTTATCAATGATTAATCTGAGTCATGTGAAAAAATTTGACTACAATTACGTACTTTATAAAATTATTTAATCTACATATTGGTGATATTGATTACACAAAATTAATTTTGCTGAGAACGTTATTTCATTGATTTCCACAGGGTTAAAAGATGCGAATTTTAAGAAATTTAACCAATCAACGCCGTAAAGTAATAGTGATTTTAATGGTCATTTTTGAAAGAGGGACAATACATTAGAGTTGCAATTGTTGAAATATTCAACAACTACATGAATCATTTTGAGGTCTTGATTGATCAAGCTTGATTTCCGGGAATTCTGAGTTGAAGATGTCGATCTCGGTTTCTTGAGCTAAACCATTTTGGGCAACTGTTTGGAAAGCTTTATCGACATTGATGGCCTCCTTGGCTGAGGTTTCAAAGTAGGGAATTTGATTTTTACTCTGGCACCAGCTAAGTGCTCTCTTAGATGTAACTGCGCGATTCTCTAAATCAATCTTGTTCCCAATAACAACAAAGGGGAAACTTTCAGGATCACGGGGTGATGCTTGAATTAAAAATTCATCTCTCCAAGCGTCTAAAGACTTGAAGGTATTGGGCGCTGTAACGTCAAACACAAGAACACAACAATCTGCACCACGATAAAAGGCAACACCAAGGGATTGAAATCTTTCCTGGCCTGCAGTGTCCCATATTTGCATGGTTACAAGACGATTATCAATCTCAAATTCTTTTGTCAAAAAATCTGCTCCGATGGTTGCCTTGTATTGGTTACTGAATCTTTTGTTCACATATTGGTTCATTAAAGAGGTTTTACCCACACCAGAATCACCAAGGATAATTACTTTGAGAAGAACTTTTTTACGTGAAGAGGACATAATAAGCTTCAATTAAATAATTACGCCCAAATTAATAAAGCAACAGAGAAATAAAACCAAAACAATATTTAGGCTTAAAATACAAAGACACAAAAAGAGGAAAACAGTTTTTCTGTTGCTGATCCTTTTGAGTAAAAGTATCGATACTTCACAACAAATATCAATTCCCTTTAAAAACCACTGCTGAATCATGTTGATCGTTGTGCCATCTAACGATTCTAAAGTCAACATCTCAAACCAATAATTGGTTATACAGCTGCGCATAAAGTGGATTCTGAATTTGAATCAAATTTTGTTGATAAATTAATTTTCAATTCACTTTGGATTAAAAGTGTTTTGTTTATTGTTTTTGTAATAAATTATTTTTCAAATTGTTTTCAAATGTTTTTCTTTTATAAATCAGTTTGACTAAACATGTTTAGAGTAAAACAATGAATGATCTGAATCTTTATCAAGACGCAAACAGTTTAATTAACTATTTAATTGAAACAAAAAACCCATACATCAACTTGTCCATATGTTACACTCAAAACAATGGCTTTTAGTTTTTTTTCATTTTTGAATGTGTTTTTTGATGTTCTTGACTTTTTTTGTGTCCTCCTTTTTTTCCTGGGGAAGTTTACCCATTGTTCATTGACTTGGCTATTAAAATGTGTCTTTGATCATAAAGCATTGGCTGAATAATTGGCCAGTGAATGAATTAAAATATCTTGAGGAATTGAACCTCGTCTTTCCTCTCGTTTAACCAACCATGAACGGCATTCTGATGCAGAATCAAGTGAACATGATTGATTGGTTAATAATTTAGTTTTGGCAGTTAATGAGGACATTAGCAGTTCCAATGAGCGTCCTTTTAACCTAGGTGAAGATGATTTGGCAGTACCATGGAGATACGATGATGGGCTTTTCCTACTGTTTAACTTGTTTCCACCTTCAGTCGCCAGATAACCAAAATAATGTCCACTATCGCAAACTGGAAAAGATGAACGTCTCTTCTGTCCTTTATTATTACCATTATTATTATCGGTATTATTATTACAATTATTATTACTGATGAAATCAGGATCATTATTACTATTACTAATATTATTATTATTGGTTTTTAAGAACAGGGTTGGCCGTTGAACAGATGAACTCGCTTGCTGTTTCAAGTTGTACGATGAAATATGAGGTGGAGAAGATGAAGGTGACGATTGCGACGAAGAGGTTACTGATGGCTTTAAAAGTGACGGACATTTCAGGTGAATCAATGAGCTTGATAAATGAGCAGAATGAGATGATACATCTGGTTCAGGAAAACTGGAATCTTCATTCTCCGAGACTGTCCCATGAAGGAAGACCAATGCTGCTGCAGCCAGTTCACATCCAGTATAAATTCCAATGCAACCTGGAGCTGAACCGCGACGACCTCGGCAAAATTGTGCCTAAAAAGACAAAAGAAACAAACAAAATTGATAAATTGTTGGCAAATGAAAAGGAAAACAAAACCAGATTAAAAAGCAAAATGCTCATCACCACCGATATGCCTGTCTAAATTGATAAAAAAGTAACTTAATGGACACGATTGATTGATTCAATACAATGAGATGAAATTGTCAATTAACCTTTTAAGATGGATTTCATGATTCAACCATTTAACAGATGAAAGGTTTAATTTAGCTGATTGTTGTTCCATATGATTTTTGTTTTGACTCTTCAGAAGGTTTCTTTTTGTTTTCCTGTCAAGATCAATTAACTCATTGACTAAATTCAGGTTAATTTAATTGATTTTCAATTTTAAATTCATTAATTCAATGCTCCTGCAAAAAGGTGCCTTTCAGATTGACGTTAAATGCTCTGGTTAATTCAATTGTTGAAACATTTATAAGTCAATTTAATCCAACTTTAATCTTGTTGTGAGTCTTGAGCAATGAAAAAACACAACAAACTCAAAATATATTTTATATTGAAATTAAGTTTTGGGTAAAAAATCAAACAATGTTGCCAAGTTAAATAAAGCTATTTAATCTTTACCCAAATTTGTATCAATTTAATGGATAATACAATTGTTATTTAGCCTTATTTTCAGCCTCTTTTCCTGCTCATCTTCATAATCATCTTGCGTTTTACATCCAAGTAATTATAATTAAATTTGTTCAACAACTAAACCTAAAAAGACAAGCAATTTAACATTGATCAGCATTTCTTTTCATTCTCAATGTAAATACATTAAGCTGATTTCACCTCATCATTAAACTTGCCAAGCTTTTAAAACCTGTAAATGTATTAAAATGAAAGATTAACTTTGAATATTTAGCAAAATTTAATAATTAATTTGAACAATAAAATTTATTCAATTCAATTTATGTATTCAAGTTGAATGTAGCAATTGAACATCTTTAAGGTTCAATGGTTATCCAATGGGATAAGCTTAGTTGTTAGGATTGAAAGATTAACATTCAATTGTTGAGTAAAAATTGTTTCAAATTTACTGAAGGAGAAGAATTTAATTAACAGAACAATTAAATTTATATTTTCAACAAATGAATAGTAAATGAATGAATGTAAATTTAAATTGGTTAAACTTGAAAGGATGAAACTATGAGAAGATGAGGTTTACCTGAAAAGGGTAACTGCAATATTAATGATTTCAATGATAAGTTAATTGTAATTGATGAAAGGTTTAAAGTGAACAGGATATTGAACAAAAGCTCAATGGTGTATCGAGTGGCGAATCAACAATGAATTTCAAGAATTGGGTTAAATAATGATGTAAATGGCAATTTAGGTAAACCTAAATTTACCAATATTTATTGTTATAGATTTGTTTCATTTTTGGGTTTCTTTTGTCAAAAGGTTAATATTGATGAAAATGTATTCATTTGAACCTTTTAAAACCTTAAATTGGACAATTTTGGGTTCAGCTGTTAATTATTATTGATGAGACTGATGAAGATTGATGCTGGTTAAGCTGGTTATGGTTGGAAACAAAGTAATCATCATTTGTTATTAGGCTTTTTAGATTGTTTATGATGACATTTGAAGGCAGATTAGATGAGGCTTGATATTGAATCTAGTCTCATCATATTATCATGGTAACATGATAGACATGATGAGGCAAACAAGAAAAGAAGACAGAAACTAAGAAGAGTCAGAATTGAATCCAGATTATTGTTTATTATACAGTCTCACCACTTACCAGCAGTATTTTGTTACCTTAATGTCAAAATGAAAATGAATGAAATATGAAAATGGAAACAGCAAATAGAAAAGATAATTATCATGAAAAAAGATTAACATGGAAAGATGATGATCAAAGTAGTGATTAAAAAATGATGAAAGTGATGGAAAGATGATTAAGATGAGGAAAAGCTGTGAAAAGTCTAAAGTCACTTTTCAGATGAAAGTTAAACACTTCTTATTGTCATCTATTAACTGTCATTGATCAAAGATGGTTAATCAATTGTAATTATATTGTCCTACAATTAAAGGTTCAATTTACAATATTGACAGTTAATCAGCTTTTCTGGTAAAGTCAATTAGAAGCAAAAAGTAAAAGGTAAAAATGAAAATTTCAATTTCAATAGTTGATATCAGCTTTTCAAAGGTTTTCACTAATCTTTTAAACTGATGATTAAAACAGTAAGCGACTTAATAATAGGTGAAATCATTTGATAATTTTAACAATTAGAGAGTTAAATTATCTTATATTGAACCTTGAATCAGTGAAAACAATGTAAAATGGAAAGTTAAATTATCATTGATGGGCATTTCAATGAAACTGGGTTTCTGGTGTTTCTGGTTTTATCAACAATCCATTTCTGATTCATAACAAAAATTGAAGCCAAGTTACTCCCATTATTGGTTTATCATGATTAGTCTCTGGTTTAATTGGACTTGCATATCAACAATGATCAGTCTGAGTGTGAGGATGAGGGTGGATAATTAGTGATTAACTTACTGTATCGACAATTGATTGAGATGGATATGAAGGTGTATTTGTTGATGATGTTGATGTTGGATAACCTGGCAGTGTTGAGAAAGAGTGAGGTAAACAGGTAACTTTGTCAATTGATTGTTCGTAATTCATTAATTGTTCAACAACCCGAGGTAAACCAGTATAAGTACCATAAGTTGAACCTTCAGGTAACAATTCAGTATCACCGGAATCACTTCCATAAGTACAATCCGTTGAACCTGAAATAGGCTGTGAAACGGAAATGTAAGGCAAACAAGGCTGTGTTATTGTTGGTTGATGTTGAATTGAATGGCGATGATGATGGTGACGATAATGATGGTTATTACTATTATTATTATTACTGTTATTATTACTATTGTTATTATTATTATGATATGAATGACGACGTGAATGATGATGAGATGAGGGTGAAGATGAGCAACTGGTTTGGCTGTTAGTCGGTTGACATGTTGACTGGGTTGTTGGTTGGCTTGAGGTTACGGTTAATGGTTGGGCTTTAGGTTGACTTTTCATCGTTGTTTGGCTGGTTGACATGTTGCTTAGCTGATGATGAGATTGAGATTGAAAAACATTTGGACAATTGGAAGATAAATTGATTAATTGAGATGAACCATAAGAGGAACCCAAACTGGTCTGTATCGATATAATTGGAAGGGAACTTCGCTTTTCTTTGGGTGGACTCGGAGTTCCACATCCATTGGGTCCAATACATTGCTTTTTACCAATATGAATCCTTTCACCTTCATCATCTTCATCTTCCTCATTATCGTCTTCATGACTATCAATGTGTTCCGTTTCATCGCCACCCATGGCCAGCTCTTTCCTCAGTCCACTGAAACCTCTAAACCTTCCAGGTTCAAGTGTTACTTTAGGTGACGATGACAAGGATGAAGATGAACAAGGTGACCCCAGAATTGGTAAACAACAGGCTAATCCTTTGTCATCCATTGAGCCAACCTTTGGTGTATCTTTAAGTTCATCTAATGAAATCTCCTCAATCGACATGATATCGTCCAGACTTTTTGAAATATCTTTGGCTTTTCTCTTCTTCTCGTTCATTGTCTCATATGAATGTCTCCTTTTCACGTTAACCTTTTGTAAACGGTTAACCCATTGAGAATCATTGAATTTCAGGTTAAATATGATTCGACGTGAAAGCTTTGAGCCTAAAAACTGGTCCCACAATTGATATAAAGGTGATACAATATTACGATAGAAATCTGGTGAATAGAAAGGTAAAAAGAGCATCAATTAATAGCTTGTAAACACACAAATCATACTCCAAATGACTTCAAGTTGATGAGATTTAATTTCATTTCTTGAAATGCAATTTATTTTTTGGATTTAATTTTCTCATTCAATCAAATGTAATGAAACTCATCAATTCCTTTTGCCGTATTTCACATTGGACAAGGTCAATGTAAAAGGTCAATATTCATGGTTAAATCATAAACCATAAATCATGATGAAATGATGATACTTTTTCATCTTCATCATAATATCATCATCCATTCAAAGTTAAGATTTATTTGCTTCAATCTTGCACTTTGAAAAGTTGACTTTCAATTGAAATCTTTATCTTTACAAACTGAATCTCTTTGGTTTACAATAAATCAGTTTATCATTATTAATAGCTGCTCATTTAATAGATGATTGAATCTATTGAGATGTCACTTTTAATGGCAGTTACTAATGAAACTTATCAACATAACATAAATAAGCAAATGAGAAGAAGAAAATTTTTTTCTCTAATTTCTTATTTTTCTAGCTTTTCAATCAAAATTATTGCAAGAATGAAAATGTTAAACTAATGGTGAAAGCAATAAATCTCATCATGGATTGAGAAGGCAATTTATTACTATTAAGCAATTAAATGGAATCACGTATTATCATTATTCCTATTTAGGATTCAAAACATATTCAACATTCGAATCGTTTTTAGTGTTTTTTTTCTTACCTGTCTGTATACGAGCTACTGATGCAGTGCGACGATCAAATATTGGAGTCACTTTCATTTTGAGCTGCCTTTCATAGTCACCTTGGCGATAAAATTCATTACAAATTTGAGTTGTCCATCTTTGGGATAAAACCCAGGGTCGACCTGGATTACCCAGATCAGCACACTTTAGAGCAATTTGCATCACGAAAAGCCTGTCATCTGGAGAAGTCATTTTAATGGTTCCTTTCTGTAGAGCATCGCGAAATCGTCTTAAATAGTTTCCCTGTTGAGTCACATCGGTGGCCAAGATGAGACTACGTAGTAAAAACTGAACCATTGACCATTGATTGTCATCAAAGTGACTAAAAATTCCCGACTCTTTTAAACACGACATGGCAAACCTCCAATGATGCGATTCAAGAACTGATAGATTCTATTAAAAACAGAACAAAAAATTCAATTAATAACTCAATTAGAATTAAAATAATTTGATCAATGAAAAGATTGAATGATTGACATCAAAATTGATTGACTTTTGGTTTTAATTTTTCATCATTTATCGGTCAAATTGTGAATTGCTTTAAGCTGGACAAAATGCTTTTTTATTGTAATTGTTATTGGGATAACTTTTGATTTTAAACCCAAAAACCAGAAAAATTTGGGTGACTTTTCTTTACCCTTCACCTAGATTTTTCTTGTGACTTGAATCAACAGTGAATTATCAAAGTGAGATTTCTCGTCAGATGAGTGTTTCACTGATTAAACTAACAGACACATTGAAAGGTAACAAAATGAAAAGGTAACATTGGTTAATGGATTTGAAATTGAATGATAAAAGTAATAGAAATAAGTTGAGAAAAAAAACCTCAACAAAATAATCAAAGTTGCAAGAGTGAACCAAATGATGGAGTAAATGGCGAGGAGGAAAAAAAAGTTGATTGGTTTAAGAAGTGGTAAAAGATGGTGGAATAAGATGAAGATGATGAAGGATGAGGTAAAATTTGAAGAGGATTGATCGTTGAATTTGGTCTGTTCAGTTCAACTATTTGAGAATCAATTGAATTACATTCTGGCAACTTTTTTGTCTTTCAGAGGGAAAAAAAGTTCTTTCAACACTCAAATGATTCTTTTGCCTCATGTTATAATCAAGGTTAACATTATGATGATAATGATGATGAGAGGAAACAATAAAATTCAAGTGATCAACAAATGAAGATCATTGAAGCTTTCGATTTGTCTATTAGCCTTTAGCCTTTCATCCAGTTGACATGAAACATTTTCTCCATCTTTTCCATTCTTTTTTCATTGATAATTGAGCAAATTAAACGAATCCACTTTTCATTTATACGTTCAAATTGTGACAATTAAACGACTTTACCTTTTGCCTGAAACATTCAGAGGTGAGAGAAAAGGGGAAAATGGTTTCACTCAGGGAAGGAGGCGGATAACAGGGAATGAAAAATTCCATGTAACGATTGTGGTTGAAAGACAAGTTTCAATCAACAGAATAATTTTTGTTTCAGCTTCATGAGACTACCACTGGTTCAATGTATTGAGGAAATGTTTAGGTTAACAAAGATTCAAGTTCAACTTTGACATTTTTGCTCAAATTTTCAATTTCGTTTTTCATTTTAAAAAGCATTTCTTTTTCACTTTAGTTTGGGTCAAGAATTTTCAAGATTCAGAATTGAGTTTACCTGGTTTAGATTGATGGATGAGATTAACATGAAAATGGTTAATTAAAGATGAGGAAGAGGAAGACGATACTTATATTGATTTACATAAAGCTATTGTTGAGATAATTTGTAATTTTAAGGTTGTTCAAGTAAAATGTTTTTCACCAATTTTTTACTACAAATCAATGTTAAGCTTAGCAAACCTCTTGAGTAAAGTGAGGAAACTTCAACTGAAAAGAAATGCAATTTGAATCAAATCAACTTTAATCACCAAACTAACCATCATGATCAACACATTTTTTGAACTCGTGGATTGATCTAGAATTGTACAGAACCGAATAAATGAATTTTTGAAAAGTAAAGATAGCTATTGATGTATCAAAACTAGTCGAAGAGTTAAGATAAGATAAGATTAAGGTCAAGAAACGATGATTGGTCATAAAACGAATTCCAATGAAAAATTTATATGAAGTCAATCCTCGAGTCCAACCTGAACCTCAAGATGCTCTGGTCTTGGAGCTAGAATCAACTTGTCCAATTGATATGTTGTCACAATAATGCAAAATAACTCGATGACTTTAGATGTGAGTTTTCCTTTGAGAATCTTGACAAACTCTCGATTGAGAGAAGGAAAAGATTGGACGAATTAATGGACAAATGAACATTTTGACCAAATGCTATTGAGGTTAGTTTCCTTCAACATTGATACTTTACTTGGCAAAGTATGTTTTCCCCATTTTCCCATTTTTTGCTCAAACAAAAGTGAACAAAATATTGGGTAAAAAAATGTTTGTTTGGGTTTTGATAAGCTTTGCCTTTGGGTTAAAGGATTTTCAAGTGGAAAGAGTTGACATATCTAATGGATGGAAACAATGAAAGTCTTCATTAAATTTATAATGAAGATGAGGATGAATGTTATTATTGAATGCAGAAGGGAGTGAAAGTAAAAGATACAAGAATAAAGTGAGCATTAAAAGATTCACCTAACAATGGATTCAAAGTTGAAATGAAAATGTTACATTTCACTCTTTTTTTTCCTTGGAACCCTGCAAAAAAACTGTAAGAAGTAAAATATGATAAAGAAATCCAAAGGAATGAAATAATGGAATGGGAGTGAAAAAATAATGAGGATAAGGATGAAGATGATGAATGGATTGAAATAATGTTGCTGCTGCAAAAAAAAGAAAGGGAAAAAGATGAAAGATTGACGAGTAAAAAATGTGATAATAAAATTACTGCCAAAGGCAGAGATGGCGAGATGAAGTGAAAAACGATTTGTTCAGAAACATTGGAAGATGAACAAAGGTGAACACGAAAATGATGAAAAGTTGAGTTTCTATTTTGAATAATGATTTTCTTGGACAAAATGAACAAAAAGAATCGAGATAAAGATACAAATATGAATATGTTGATAATGAAATTAGGAATGTAACATAAGATGAAGATGAGGTTGATTAGATGATGATGGACGCAATGAAATTGTGTGAACAAGAAAAGTCAATCTTCATCATCAACTGCCCAAGGGATTGAGCCCTTGATGAGTGTCCTTTTAATCGATAAGTATGTCATGAAGGTTGAAGGAAGTGGAATGATGCAGAATGGGAAGAGATGAGAAGAGCAAGAAAATGGATGAAAAGATGAAGAATGATAAATAAGGCTTGAGGGTAAGGAATTGTATGAAGTTATAAAATTGTTAAAGACAGAGGAATGAGTTCTAATGATGATCATTATGACGGTGATGATGAGCAAGATTGGTAAGTTGAGCAAGAGGAAGGCGAAAAGGTTAGAATTAGATTTTTCAGGTAAAAATAATGTTGAAGAATAGACTGATTGGTAAAAGGAGAAAAGAGGAAAAAAGCAAATGTGTATTTACGTCATAGATTCTGCGTTCAATGGCCTCAATTCATGAGACTCAAGGATTTCTTGATTCTCTCTGTGCTTTTTCTCATCATCATCATCATGATCACAATGATGAAAAAAAGGAAGAAACTGGGTCAACTATAAATCATAGATACGAAGCACAAAAAAACATGCAACTAAACACACTGATGGAAGCGTAAACAATTGCAAGAACCGAGTTAAGAGACAGAAAAGGTCGTCAAAATAAAGGCAGAAAAACCATGAAAACCCAATCATTGAATGATTCAAATTTATTTTTCTCTTCATTTCCATTTGAGCAAAATTGTCTTTTTTACACTTTTTCTTGTTCGATTTTTTTCCTCCAAAAATTGGGTTATTGTGATTGGAAAGTAAAACCTCAACAATTAAACAATTGCAAGGTGAAATATTGGAAGAAAGTGGATCAAATGATTGGTGGAAATTGATGGGAAAAGAAATGTTTCTCTTCATCTTCATCTCTTTTCTGGATCCAATTTTTCTTATTTTCTCACTTTTACCACTCAAAACAATAACCAGTAATGATAAGTTATTAGACTTTATTATGATTATTATTATAAATTGTATTACATTTATAATACGAGAAGCAGAATCATTTTTTATCTTTAGTCGAAACCAATTCTGGCGAGGAAAATATTCTCTTATCCAGGTTAATCAGATCAGGACAATGGGAATAATCTGCTTTCTCATAACTTACATTGATAATTTGAATACAAATTGAATTGATCGTTCAATTAAACTTGTGTTAATTTGATTGTTTGGTAAAAAAGTGAAGGCAAAAAATACTTTGTTTTCATGTTTTCGGGTTAAAACAAGGAAACAAAACAAACAATGAATATTTTGTCATTTATTTTGTTTCAATATTTTAAATGAATAAATTTGTATAATTTAAATTGTTGAAACACTAATGGAAAGGATTGTTAGAATACATTTCAATGTTGTTTATTAATCAATCTGGGATTGTTAGTTAAACAGTTTTTGACGCAACCATTCAAAACTAATTGCCTTGTAAATTAAAGGCAATAATCATATGATTATTGCTTTGAATTTAATGAATTGTAGCAATTAATTGTGATGCACACACAAAATGATAATAATGTCAAGGTAAATGATAACAACAAAAGACATAACAACTTGTCATGTGTTGATTATTTCATGTGATATACACAAAAGCAAGTAACAAGACAAGATGAAAAACCTTTACAGGGAATCACTTTTTTTTATATAATATTATTATCTATTGTTTATTTATTTTCATTGTTTGGGGTTCCTTTTTTGTCTGTTTGTCACTCAAACTAATAACTTTCAACTGAAAATAATTACAGGCTAATAGTGATCAGATGGACTGGGAATGGTTAACGAACAGTGAAAATGTTTCAGACAATTGTTTAGTCACATTTTCATGCTTAAAAGTTGGATTCATTGAAAGCTTTTTTCGCAAAATTTTTAAGCAAATCCAAAAATTAAAAGCTTCTTTTTTGCAACTTGAATAATCTTTAGGTGAAAATTTCTGACAATTGTCAACATCTAAAAGTTCATTCAATCAGCATCAAGAATATGATATTTTTCAAGAACTGATCAAGAATGCCATCGATAGAGATCAAGTTTGTACTTTTCTTATCATTATTATTCCTATTCTTCCGTTCGATTTTTTTGTCGTTCTTTTTCGAAAGTCGAGAATTCAGAAAATTTTAGGTGGAATCGTGAACCAGAAAAACGTATAAAACTGTTCGATAATTTTTCGTCTCAAATTCGTCGAACAGAATCAAAGGAAAGGACAAAAAATAGTTTTTTGAGTTGCTTGGTTAAGGCTCACAGGCTTGTCAGTGTTTGACCTAAGATGATGACTTACTGGGTTAGGTTTGAGCTGATTGTTGGATGTCGATGTTAAGTATTTTTGGTTTACAACGTTTTTCACTCGATCCATTTTGAGTGTTTAAAGTAGTCAAAGTTTCCATTGATTGATTGTTTCGCCTTTTAACCGTTTCTTCGGTGCGATCTAGTTACTCGAGTTTCATCTGATAGCTTAATTGATTGGTTAATGAACCAATTAGGGGAGAAAGCGCGAGATGAAGAGTTTAAATTAGCAAACACATTTGCCTGTGTTTATCTTTGCAAAACGAAATTCAATCTTCTGCAAATTGAATTTTTTGATATTTTGCCAGAGAAGAAGAAAAAGAAAAATTCAAGTTGAAAATTGGAGCAAAATGTTTTCAATGAGAGAATGATTTGTGCATGGTAAAAAGGGTTCAGATTTACGCAGACAGTGAAATGTTGAAAGTTTGCCTGAATAACGATACAAAAAAAGGAAAAGAGGTCAAAGTAAAACAAATGGATTGAACAAAAAAGTTATGAATGGCAACAGTTTATTAAGCTAATGCACTTTCACTCCAAGCAAGTGAATCAGGTAAGAATGGAGATGAAATGGTTGAATAAAGTTCAATTGGAAACGCAAATGAAACTGTTAGACAATCAACTTGAAGCGCAACACAAACAATTGACACTTTTTTGCTTCAATATTGTCATTTGAATGAAAAACTAGAAAAGACTTGACATTTAGGTTAATGATTATAAATGATAAAATATTGAGCTTAGAACCCTTTTGAGGATTATTGATGAACCCAATTTGGGTTCATTATAATTGTTATCAATTAATTGGGCGAAAATTTGATTCGAAAATAACTGAAAATGTTGCTCATTAAACAATCTTTCCATCGACTTTGTTATTAAGGAAACAAAAGGTTTAGATGAAGAGTTAACCTTTAAACTTGATTAACTGAGAAAATAAGAAATGAATGATGAATTTTATTATCCATGTGATTTCCCATGAGCTTTGTTAACAGATTCAGAAATGGATAAAAAACTGATAAATAAGTGTTGCAAGATTCACCAATTTGTCAACAAAGAAACATGAAAATATAAGATGAATTGAACTGATCAAGAAGAGAAAATTGATTTAAATTAAAATGAAAATTGAATTGTGAAATTTGTTCAACTGATGAAACAAGATTTGATTAACAATGGAAACAATGAGAGAAACATTGTCACAACCAATTTAAGGGTTAAAGTGAATCTAGATTATCATGAAGAATCATGAAAATGAGTATCATGGAGAAGCAATGATAATGATGATAATGATGATGATTGAATGGTTCAATGGATGGTTCAAGGGAAGGAAAAGATGAAAGTCAAAAATCGATATAAATGGTCAGAAACATTATTACATCTCTTGCAACTCTGATAAACTTTATTCCCTTCCTTGTTATCATTTGGCTTTCTTCATTTTCATCATTCTTCATCTTTACTCGCCATCATTACGATGTTTCACTTAAACGGTTTGACAAAGGCAAAGACCTTAAGACTTTCAAGACAATCAAATGCTAACAATTGACCCTGACTTCAAATGGTTACCTTGTTAAGACAATTTTGGGTTAGCTTTTCAGGTCAACTTCCTTCATCAGGAGTAACATATTCACAACTCACACCAACACTCGATGTGCTTTAGTTTTCTTGATCAGCGAAAAGATGACGAAAATCGAAGTTGGCTGATCAACATTTGAATGAAGCATCGTATCAAGTATTAGGTGCTCGGGCGATGGTTACGCTTACATAATTAACTTGACTTGAGGCGGATGAAGACACTTGTAAGTTACTCTTCGAGTCTTGTCGAGGCAAAAAAGTTTGGCTTATAATCAATTTTGATTTAGTTGTGCATAAAAATCAAAATGGTTTGTTTGAAGAACTGAAGAAATTTGTTCATTTTGAAAATCTCTAAAAGATTTTTGACTTTCTCAAGAATTGCATGTAGACATAAGTTCTGATAGACTGAATTATGGGAATATTGATTTATGCTGTGAGCCATGAGCGAGTTCATTGATCGTTAAACACGGACTGAGTCTCGAACAAAATTTATTGAGGAAAGAAATCACTCGAAGCATTTGATCTACAAAAAATCAGAAAAATTGTTTCTTTTCATTTCGAACTGACAGACACTGTTTCCGACAGAATGGACAGTTTTGCCAAGCGGACTTTTACTATCATGAAAAGATGAGCCAAAAGACCAGAAAGATTAGATTGAAAATTGAATAAGAATTTTGTTCAATTTTGAAATGAGTTGAGCGATTGGTGAATAAGGAAAAGTTGAGACATTTTTTGCTTCAAGTCAGGTTTTTGTAATCATTTTTCAATCATCGGTGAGATTATCGTGGATTCTGATGGGAACATGATGAATCTGAAAGCTCCTAATACAGCATAAAAATTACAAGTTTGCGATATTAAATATCTGGGTTAACATTTCACGTTGGTTTAACCAGTTTTTCATGGGATTCAAGGATTAGTTTCTATCTAGTAACTCAAATATCATAATCATTTTATCATCATATTGTCAACAAGCTTCATGATCACTTTGTTGCTGTTTCAAGTTTACCTCGTTTGTGTGTTCATTTTGTTCAAAGTGAAAGTTTTAAACTGTAATCAGAAAACAAATTGCTAAGGAAACTGATGTAAGTTGTTTCAGTGAACCGATCACGGAATTGTCCGGATCAATCTTGTTTAATCCCTAATGCATAACACTTTATCCATCATTTTCATCAAACTATTCCTATTCATCCAATCTTCATCATTATCGTCATTCTTTCTTCTCTGAGTGGCCGCAACTTTCAACCATTTTGAAACTTTTCCAGAGGAAAAAAAAGAAGAGAAGAAAAAATTTTTCTTTATTTCTTGCTGTTTTCAGGTAATCCGATTATAGACTGAGTTTATGATCAAGAAGAAACAAAATGATGTATAAACTTTGAACTATCAAATAAAAAAGGAAGATGGAAAAGATGGGAAAATGATGAACATGAATGGAATACGAATAAAATAGATTGTCCAAAATTTAGGCAGATTATTTTCGTAAATATCAAATTCATCGGAATCGATCGATTGCCAGGTGAAAATAAGATGCAAATCATAAGTCACTTTCACCAAAAATTCAAGTTCTCCTCCTTCAGATGTTCCTCAATTTTCAGCTATTAATTGTTAATCTACCGATAAATTACTAGATTAAGTTGGAGTTCATTTTAAGTGAAAAGTCAATGTTCATTAAAAATGAATTGAATGTTGGTTTAAGACTATTACTTGACGCTAAACATTTGGAGGGAATAAATTTAACTATTGAATCACAGGTTTGGTTCGCTCGATAAGTGACTAGCAATTGTTAAAATAATGTCACTTTTGACGAAAAAATTGTTTCTAATTTGAAATGAAATTAATGTTATTCAGGTTGGTTTTGAATGAAATCAAAAGCTATTGGCATCATTGTTGATTCACTTTCTAGTTCAATTGTAATTGGAGCTGAAAATTGTGTTGCCAGACTCGCAGTCATCAGGTTATTTTGCATTATTATTGCAACAGAATGGCTTCAGCCAGTGATGATAACTTTGATAACTCAAGTTGATTCAATTCTGATAACTTTCACCTTCACTTGAACAGCTAAGTTTAACGAGTTTGACTCAAGAGGAGCTTTCAAGTTGAACAAGGGATTATCTGGATATTTTGCATTATTTCATCGTGTCAAGAAACTGGTTAGACAAAACATTTACCCAGTCAAAACAAATAAGAGAATCGCAAGATAATCAAGATTAATCTTTTGGATAATTGGAAATGTTAGTTAAAGTAAATCATTATAAATGATCAATTGATGGACAATTTGACAATCAATTTTGATGTTTTCCCTGAAACCAGAAAAGGTATAAAGCTTACATTGTAAAGCGATGCAAGATGACTTTTGGTTGCAATGAGAAAGTGTTGGTTAACTCCTGGATGGTCAAGATCATGGGCTACAGCAGCCAACAAGGAACACATCTTTTCCATTGGAGTTAAATGTTGACCAATTTTTTCCTCTTCAATGAAACAGTGCATAGCTTGTGTCACATCAGCTGCATGAACTGAATTATGGTAAGGATTGGTATCATGGTAACCATTTTCAAAGAGTCCTGAAAAGAAGAGAAGAAGAACAAAAAAAATGAATTATTTTCAACCAAAGATGAGGATAATAATTGATTATATGGATAGGCTGGGTTGGGTATAAATTGATACACTTAGGTAACCAAGTCGGACTTTCTGTTAGCAAATTTGTTCTCTCTCTCTCTCTCATAATTCATGTTATTATTATCATGAATACACTTTACCTCCCTTAGTTAAGCTCTTCATTAGAAATTCAATTTACCCTGATTACAAGATACATATTCAACTTATAGATATAAAAGTAATCAGAGGAAACATGAAGCAAGACAAAAAATGAAATGGTGATTCAGGTTAGACGCCAAATCACTGATTCTCAATGTGATTAAATGATGAACAACATGAAATGAAGCTGATAATTGGGACAAAAGGTAAAAGGACATGAAAAGTGTTGTGATAAGACTAAAGGTGTAATTTATAGCGCAAAAACGCAATGAAAACACAGCGAAAAATGAAACTCAATGATAATTTCTTGTGACAATTATAATTACATTTACGTTAAATGACCGAAAAAGAGTTAAATGTAGCGATTTTAATTTCCCATTTTATTTCCTCTTCACTTGTTTGGACGTTATTAACCATGATATCTTATGAGGTTCAACATTATCATTACAGGGAAACAATCAAATAAATTGCCTTATCAAGTGATGAAAATTAAAAGCAAGAGCAACATTTAAAAATTCATTTTCTCAACACTTTTTCATTGGTCTGAGCAAAACCATTGACCAATTGACCCGTTTTTTAACATGTTTACCCAATGTTGAACCAGAAACAAAAATATGGTTAAGTCGAGGTTTAACCAGGAAAAGAGTTAAACATCCCAAAGGGAGTGAAAAGATTAAATTGAGTATCTTCCTTATCTTCAACCATCATCCATAGTTACTTTGAATGTCTCTAAGGTAACACTTTTAATATACATTAACCCGTTCAACTTGTGACCTTTTTGTGTGTAAAATACAATAACAAACACTACCGAGTTACCAGTTGAGAAGAGGAAAAGAGTTGCAAGAAAATACAGAATCTTTTGTTGTTTATTGCTTGACCTGATTTTCCAGTTGCCACTTTCACCATCATCATCATCATGCTCAACATTTTATTGTTGAATCTCAAATTCACTCCCACCATGAATAAAATGCAAAGTAAAATATGGTTACAATTATTATTGATAAAATTGTTACAAAAAATGGATAATTCTGGTTCGTCTGTTTCCAGTAAAATAATGATATTTATTTCCTTTCTTCATTACAACCTAACAATTTCATCTTTTATTATTCACAACTTTTTTTTCATTCACTTGCTATTATTTGATAAGATGATATCAAGATGATGTTGAGATTGTATTTGGATAATCAGAGAGACTGGAAGGCATTTTTGTTGTAACTTTTTGAAAATTTCAAGAATTGTTTCTTTGTTCAACTTGAAATCATCTGAATTATGAATAGTTTGTTGTTTTTTTCAGAATCACGCACTTAACATTTAATAACAAATATAAACATTTTCATTGCTTGTTTTATCATCGTCATGATATATATTTATATGCCTTGGAAGGAAGGAAAACAGATGAAAAATCTGGTCCAATAGTCAAGGTATTGAACAATATGAATGGTTTTTTACAGGGTAAAGTAAGAAAAAATAAACTAAACTAAAATAATAATAAATATGATAACAACGAAGGTTGGTAAACAAATAGAGAAATCAATAACAATTTTGATAACAACGAATATGTTTTAACCAAATGTTGACTGAAATGTTGAATCGATGGAAATATGGAAAAATATTTTTTCTTCCTTTTCTCAATTCTACAAAAAAATGTTCATTCAGAGACTGAAAAGATTTGTTGAAATCGGAATCTAGTCAATCTTTTAATCTCCTTTTTCTGGTCCAGTTTTCAAAAGTGAATAGCAATGAATTAAAGTTGTGATAATTCAATCAGAATGGATAATTTTGTTAGGAAATTACATTTTTTGCCTGAATTGAATCTGAATTTAAAATTAATTTACCACTTTCATCTCAAATTTATCATAAAGATAAAGATAATTGTTTAATTAATTTTTTAATTATGATCAATGTGTTTTGTAAAGCGCGCTTATATAATTTAGGCGCTAATCTCGATGGGTTACTACGGGTTACTGAATCATCTGATTTTGTGAAAGTAAAATTGCTAAATTGATTGCTAAATGAGTCTAAATTTAATTTCTAGGTAAATGTAAAAATTATAAAAGTGTTTAACCAACTTTAAATGAATAGTCTCTTCATTCGTAAAGGTAATGAAAGGAAATATAACTCATTTGGGTGACTATTTCGAAATATTAAACATTCGTCTTCTTAAATTGGTGAGTAAACATTAACTTTGCTTCAGAATATTTATTAATTCATAGTTTTGTCTTCTTTCTCAAGAGATTATTTTAAACATGAACCTGTGACATTTTGGTACTGGCTAGAGGTGATACTATTATAAGACTTGGGATACTTGGACGTGGATCAAACCTGTGAAAAGATACAAATTGCTTGAGATGTCCGTTTCAAAAGAGACTAAAAATATCCAAGGATTGTTAATCATTGAAAAATATTGCAAAAGTGCTCATTTGTTACAAGAACAGATGAAAAGTTTGTCTGGAATGGTAAATAAATGATGGTAAAACAGTTTATATCTAATTTGGACAAAATGCATCTCAATCTTTGGATGGAAGCCAGGTGACATAATCTGGTTCATCAGAACAGTAATCAGCAACGGTTTAACAATGATTACAAGACAAAGCCTAAAATTCATGGAAATATAATCTGATAAAAAGTGGAAAAGGTAAATGTCTTAACCAAGAAGGATGGAACAATTGGAATAAAGCATCACAGGAGGAAAATGATAGTTTCTCATCAACATGCACATTGGTTTTTGATCAGGCATTTTGATGTGTAAGGTGGGAAAAAAAGATGTAAATGAAGGGAAATATGGTGAAAAGGAGAAGCAAAAATTCCTTTTGAAAAGAGTGAATCATTGAAATACCTTATTGGTGTGTAAAATGATTTTGTAAAATTCATTTTTTCGTCATTCTGTGGCCAATTTAATATCATCACTAAACGTATTTCATATTAATATAAATTTTAAATTAAAATATGTTTATTTCAATATATTTGGCCCAGTTTCAGTTTAACCAAATCTGTTGAAAGTATTTTGTTCCATTTCACCATCTTCTTCATCATCATCACCCATTCTGAGTGCAATATTTATAGGTAAAGCAAATTGTAATATATTTCATATGTAATTGTTCAACCTGTTTACACATTTACTTTCAATGATTCTCATTTTCATCCAGGAATCCTTTTTTTTCACTGCTTGTTACAACTGAATATGAAAAATGTTTTCCCAGTTTTCATCAAATTTTCATTTCATCACGCAACACAATTTCACACTTTTAACTCATTTAATACTCTTTATTAACGGTTATGATGACGATCATGGGAATGATGCAGCTGTAACCTGTTGACTTATTGTTTTACTGTGTAAAAATATCACCCATTTGTTGACCTTATTTGAAAATGAATGAAACAAAAACGGAATGAGAAAATAACATTAAAAATTACATCTACTTGTAATACATATTTCATTTGCCATTAAACTCATTGTCTAATTGTATTACAATCAGCTTGATTCAATAAGGTTGGTTGGTAGATTGAAAAACAAAAGACTATTGATTGAATATTAATTTGAAAGTTTACCGGTCAAGGTAACAATCAAAATGAGCAACATTAACCATTCAATGGGTTGCCTCATTTAAACTGTTAATTGGATGTTTAAAGAGACGATGAAATGATGATGAACCAGAAAAGTCAAACTTGCATCTTGGTTAAGCACAATTAAATAGATCTTATTTCAATTAATTTTCTTCATTAACATGTTTGCCCATTTTAACCTTCTTTTGCTTCATTTAATTGTATAATAGTAGACAATTAACAGCAAATACATTAGCGACAGAGTTAGTCAAGTTGATCAATAGAGTTCACAGGTAAAGAAAATATAAATTAAAGGTTAACCAGTTTCATTGAGCAAACTGAATTACAATTTATAACCAAAATGAAATTAATATTGTCCAATTGGGTTAACCAGAAAAAGAAGTCAATTTCTGGCAACAATTCAAATGTTAATTAGTGAAGAGAAGAGGAATAATTATTAAAATTAAATTTACTCTTTTACCTTACAATAAGCTTTAAAGTTGAAATTGAAATGATAAATTAAATAGCAATTTAGTTGTAATCAAGTTTTAACATGAATTCACTTTTACAATGGAAACTGTAAATTGAATGAAGGTTTGTCATTTAAACATAATCAAATTTGATTGAAGCGCAAAATTGCCAATTCATTTGTTGATCATAATTGTGTTGATAATAGTTCACAATTTAAATTGCAAACCATTATAATCAGAAATGATTTGATATGAAAAAGATTGCAAGTGAAATTAAGTGTCAAATGTCACTTTGAGTAAATCATAATTTGCTGCTGGTAAATGAGAAAGGATTTTGTCTTTACCAGAATTTCCAGTCTTCTTCATCCATTCCTTTTCCACTGTATTTTGGAGTGAAGATGAAGATGACAAAAAAATGGTTCACTTTTTTTGCCTCTTAAGTCATCATCATCAGGATGAAATGAACATCATTAGAGCAAGGAATTCAGGCCAAATTTGGCTTCAAGTATAAGATGTTTTCACAGCTCGTTGAATGTTAAACTTTGCAAGATATTTTACTTTTTATTTCTGTCATTCCCTATGTAAACTCATCTAAAAGTTGACAGTTAAATGTATTAAAAAAAGAAGCAAAAAAGTAAATCATATCTTAATATATAAACATATTTTACCCAAACTGTGTCATTATTGAGATTATGAAAAGGCAACAAAAGTTGATTAACCATGAGATTCTGGAATAATGTTAATCAAAAGACACCAAACAAACAATTTGATGGATTGCCTTTTCTTTTGATTAATAAATCTTTCTCAATAACAATCAAGATTCTCATCGATCTAAATTCAATCATTTTTTAAACCTTTTGTCTAAACTGTCTTTTCAATATTCAACTTTACCCAAATGCAAATCAATGATTAAGGAAGCAGTTTGAGTTGGTCAATTGAAAAGGTTACAGTCAAGGGACTTGTTTAGGTAAACATTCATTTTACTCAATTGAAGCAAATTAAGTTCATCATGATCAAATCAACTTTAGTCACCAAAGTAAATATCATTATCAATAGAGACGTATCAATTTCTAGGTACAATAAGCGTACAAACCGATCATTTGAGTCAAAAATCAATCTATAAGTTGACCTTTTTTTTTCTTCCTGTAACTCAATAGTCAAACCAAATCAACTTTAACCACCAAATTAATGATAATTTTTCAAAGACTCTTGGAGTTTAATCAGTTTTCTCGTCAAATTATTAATGATCATTTTCTGGTTAAACTTTAAGCTTTTGGTCAAGTTAAGCAGTTAAACGTCAAACCTATGAATCAAATGTGACATTAATTTCAACGTAATCCAGGCAAAAAAGGTTTTCCTTTTTTTCACCCAATCATTACTCTGAATTAATTGTCGATGAAATAATTTCAGTGAGAAATTGAGAGAAGGAAAAAGGTTGAGAAGTTGAAACAACATTGTGCTAAATCAACAAAAAGTTGACCTCTTTTCATGGGTTTCCCTTGTTGGATGTTCATTATTGTTGAAAAGCTGATCATCAAATTGTTTACCTCAATCTAGATATTGGTTACATGATAATGATTAAAGTAGTAAATGAACAAAAATGTGAATACACAAAGAATTGGAAGAAAGATGGAAAAGTCAAATGCAGATGAAATGGTTAACAGTTGAAGTTATACAAAAAAAAACAGTTTACATGAAAGTCAATCTAGTGATTGCAAATGTAAACCTTTTTTTGCCTTTTTACTCATCTTTAACTGGGAAGATGCAAGTGAAGAGAGGATAAAGAGAGTGAAGATGAAAAGGATGAGAAAGTTGATAAAATAGGATAAAATGAGAAACATTGAGAATCAACTGAATTGCTCTTTTTTGTTGATCAGAAAAGTGGAGAAGAAAAAGAAGATGAAAAAGTCTTGTAAATAATATAATGGTGTAAGGAAAAGATGAGAAAGAAGAAGATGAGAATGATGAGAATAACTTTATCAGTTAACTGAACGTCTCCATGGGAACTTGAACATTTCAAAGGGACATATTAGATTTGCATAAAGAGGCAATCAACGATAATATATCTTCATGTGTGTGTTTCCTATTAAAATGGTGAGTTTACATCATTTACTGATTTGCATTATTGAGAGTGAAAGGATTGAAATGGGATTGTGATGAGATTCAATTTGGTGAGTCCATTGATATGTAAAAACATACTGAACCAGCTTTGGACTCACCTAAAAGTCCTAAAGGCTTTCAATCTATTTTTTTTACATTAATTTAATTTTCCTTTGCATTCAATTTACAATGTTAAATCTGGCAAAATATGGATCATTGAGATTCAATGTACCTTGATGATGAACAAAACCTTTTCATGAAAAAATAGTTGAGATTACATGGCAAATTTACAGTGAATTACATTGAAAGAATTGCTTTTCAACCAGAAATTAGTAAATTTTCATCTCTTCATTTTTTCCACTCTTTTCTGGTTTAATCAACATTTTGACCAGTTTTCAATGATATCAATAATGAAAAGCTTGAAGCAACTTTAACATATTTAATTATTGAAAAGGTTCAACATTATTAGATTATATTTGAACAAAATGATTCAATATTTCAACTTGCTTAAGGCTCAGCTTATTCTTGAACTTGATTAACAGAAACAATCATTTCTAGAGTAAATAATTTCAATAACAATGATTGGAAAAGGTTAAACATTGAAATACTTTACAACATCTGAGACTTGTTTAGATGAAAAGGTTCATCAAATGAAATGCTGAAAAAGATGCAAATTGATGCTCAAATCAGCCTTTTGCTTTTCTCTTTTTTTTCATCTTCTCATCAAGTACACATTTTAAGTCTATTTTTGCATCTTTTCCTCTTCATCTTGTCACCCACAGCATCTTCATCTTGAACATTTTTTATCTTCTTCTTCTTCTTCATTCAATTCAACTCTTCCATCAACAATTGTTCATTCAGTTGTCTAGGTAAAAGTGATGAGAAAAAAGTAGTTTGTGAAAAAGTGAAAACTGGAAACCTTTAGATGATGATGACTTGGAAAAAAGCATTTAATCATTGTTACTTTTTCAAGTCAATCAACAAATTAGTTTGTTGATTGAAAAGGCCTTTTGAGTAGTTGAATAGGCATGAAATAAGATAAACTCAAAATGATTTTCAACAGAAAAAAAATAGATGAGCAAAAAAGGATAATTCATGATCATGTTGATCATTTTCAACAACTTCAATATTAACTGTGAATTATGCTTTTTTCACTGTTAACATTGCTTTCCTTTCATGAACAGTTGAAGTGTAAGTGCAAAGATAACATTTCAAGATTAAAATACAAATGTTGCCATTATTATGAAGATACTTCAAGTTTCATTATTGTTATTAAATATCATGGGAAAGTTATTCTTTTCATTGGAATCAATGAATTTCAGTTTTCCATTTTTTAACAACCAAAATGTTCGCCTAATGTTGAAGATGTAAACAGAAGGAAAAGGGAAAATTGAAAAGTTTACATTGGCATGGAAAGTAAACATGTCATGATGAGCATGGTGATTATCCTGATTATCATGAGGAAAGATCAATGATCTAAACCGGAAAATGAAGATTCAAAGGATGTTCAGGTTTTGTTTTTCTCTCTGTTCATGTTCAAGGAAAGAGAATTGGAATGAGAATTGGAATGAGAATTGGAATGAAATTCAAGAATTGCTTGGAATGGATCAAAGAAATTATCAATTGATTCTCAATTTAACATTCATATCATGATGTGCGACTAATCAAAGTTTGAACACAAATTCAATGAATAGATTTAGTGGCTGAACAAGTATAAATTAAGAACTTTTCAGAGAGAAAAATTCAACTCTTAATGAATGAAACTCTTAATTCTGTGTCAAAAGTTCAGAATAAATTTAAAGCAGAATTGGTGAAAAATTTAATTCTTTTGATCAGTTAATCTTGAGATGCAAAATTAACTAAATGACTTGATCGATTAAAAGATTTTGAGATTTCTTGAAATCGACTGACAAGATTATTGGATCTTAATTTATATTTTCATCTGATGAAGTTACTATTGATATTTTCTGGTTATTCTGGACTTGATTCAGAACAGAAAATTTGTCAGTGAACTTCGAGGTTAAACTGAACTTTGAATATAATGAGATGGAAAGAGTTGAATGTTTGATGTGAAATAGGAACAGAAACAATGATAACTCTCGAATTGAAAAGGTTGAGTTATTAAGGGTACAACGTGTTAAACATGGAAACGTCTTGTTTTACTTTTTACTTTTACTTTTCAATATATACTGAGGATGAGGATGAAGATGAGTAAAATGTAAGAAGTTTGCTTCAACATGAAAGAGGTTTTACTGGTTGAGGTTAATTCAAGAGGAAAAATGAATTGTTCAAAGTATCAAATTGTTAGTCTGGAGAAGTAAGGAAAAGATGATGAA